CAAGCTGCGTCGAAACGACGCTGTGGGAACACTATATCCACCCCGCCATAAGAGCAAGTGTCCGTCTGTGAAATCAATGCGCACATTCAGAAGAAAGCACCAGCGCCGGTGGAGCCGAGGTCAAGGTCATAGAACCTCACGAATGTGTACGGCGAGGACCAGACTGCCGCATCACAAACATGTTTGAGGGAAACTCCTGACAGTAATGCTCTGGAAGCAGCCATACTCCTAGTCGAGTGAGGCTGTACTGTCCTCGACCACCCACTTGCTCATCCTCTGCTTAGATGCTGGGTACCCCTCTCTGGGTGAGCCAAAACAACCAAACAGCTGTTCAGATTTCCTCCAGAGGGCAGCTCTGTGGACATAAGTATCTAAGGCCCTAACTGGGCAGAGCAGATTTAGGGTGTATTCACACCTGCCTTGTTTGGTTCGATTGAATCGAACTCTAGTTCGTTTCCCCCCTTGGTGCGGACCTTTTGGGCAGGTGTGAATACAGCAATCGAACTCGGGTGCGGACCAAACAACCGAACCGAGACCCAGCTGAAGAGGTGGTCTCGGTACGGTTCCAAACGAACTCTGGTACGGTTCGTTTACGCTGTGAACATGAACCGACCCAATTGCAAGAAAGCACTGCGCCTTTGAGTCAACAGGCTTCCGTAGTCGGAGATTTTGGCATAATGGTTTGTGTTATTGTTGTTCAAGTGCGAAAGAGAATTCCATTCCGGCGCGCTGTCTGGCCACACGATACTGTTGCGCGTCTTTCTGTGCGTCGTGTGTGTATCATTGGAATGAATGAATGAATGAGTGTGTGCATCAGGACTTCACATACACAGCGTTCTCTTTAGTCTAATCGCGCATAGATGCAAAAAAAGCTTTTGCAGTTCATATAATGTAACGATAGTTACAATACAAGGATGATGCTGCGTTAAACTGGACAAACTTAATCGCAAGCGTTAACATTGACAGCACTTGTTAGCAGTATATACAATAAGAATCTCATTATTTGAATGTGTGAACATAGCCCCTCTCTATGAATGAAAACTGTATACCTTATCCGTCTTCTGCGCAGTTTCTTCATATTGCGTTTGTACAGAATAACACAATTATTAAAATAACAAATATTGCAGTACGAAATATCTCCATGCTGAGCCTTTTTTGCACTTCCTGATTTCCCTACTTGAGAATCCTTGTCCAATGAATGGACGACCTTAGCACACGTGTGGTTTTGTTTACAAATTTTGGTTCACTTGCAAAAAGAGCAGTGTGAAAGCGAACCGTACCAAAAAAAAAAAAAAAAAAAAAAAAATTGGTCCGGACCAAAGCAAGTGAACCATCGGACTTTCCTGGTGTGAATACACCCTTAGTTTCTCTTGGTCTGACATCCGGAAGGGAGGAGGACAGAAAGCCTGCAGTGCAATAGTACCTCTTACAGTATTAGTTGGAACCTTAGGAACATAACCCGATCTAGGGTGAAGAAAAGCCTTTAAGATACCGGATGCAAATTCCAGGCACGGATTTGTATACTGTGGCGAGCAGGACGAGGCCGAGGGACGTGAGAGCGGCGCGAGGCCGGTGGCGTGAGTGATAATGAACGTCACCTGTGAGACGCACCGGTCTCTCGATCTTCACTGTCGTCGCTCCTCCTTTATGCTTCCGCTCCTCCGTGAGAGATGCGAGACAGGTGCGTCTCACAGGTTTCGTTCATTATCACTCACGCCACGGCCTCGCGCCGCTCTCACGTCCCTCGGCCTCGTCCTGCTCGCCACTTATACCCTCTCAGTTTCACTCGCCCGAACTGAATTTGGAAAACAAGCTTTTCGGTGTGCCGCACCCAGTGATTGGATTTGTTTTCCATTCAAGAACAATGAATGGGGACTGAAGCTTTCAATCTTCAAAAAAGAACAGAAAAATATCAAAAAAGTGGTTCATGATTTTTGAGTGAACTAAGTGTCCAAACACATTTTGAAGCCCACAAACGCAGACTCACTCTCTGACTGTTGTGTTCATTATTGTGGGATTTATCGATAGACATAATGACATATTAGGTTAGGTTTGTGTGATTTATGAGATGCATCAGTCAGAGATAATGACTTGTCCTCTTTTAGAGAGACGTCCACTCCCCAGAGAGCGGGACACTCACATCTGTGGCCCAGAAAGGTTGCATTAACTGTCCCAGGTGTCCTGGTTAATGGCTCAGGCCGTCTCGGTGTCATTAGTCACTGAGATTAATTTATTGGCACCTCTTGTTACTAAAACATTCTTTCATCGCTTTGAGAGTGATAAAATCTACTTATTCTGTCACATTCCTTCTATATGATGATATTTATGAAATTTATTGAATTGCATATTCTCAAATCTAAATCCTATAGAGACCATGATGTATAAAGTTAAGGTCATCTGTTCTGTATTGGGTTTGATGGATCAAAACAGATAAAGTAATTGAATTAATCGACATATTGAATATGGTCTTTGGGGATGTACGAAACCTCTGCATGTGGTGGGGTCTTAAACATATTACCTGACCTCGCTGGACTTTCTGCTCTCTCGCCAAACACTAAATGGGCACTAATCTCTCTCATGTGTCTATAATTAGCAGATGTTTTTGTCCAAAGCAACATAAAGTAAACTAATGCTCTCCTCCAGAGAAATCCAAGGTTAAGTGCCTTTCCCAATGGCACTCTTTGTCTGTCTATCTTGAATTTGCTGTCAGCTGTACATACTAACTGAACTGTCGAATAACTTTGACTGTTTTGTCTCTCTGATTATCATCCTTTTTTCTGCAACATATTTTGTTTGTAATATTTTGCTTCAAGAAAAGGAAAATAATAATAATGAACACTGCAATATTTCTTAATAATTTGCTAATTGTTGTTAGTGCAGAACACCAGACAAATGACAAAAATGAGATTCTCTCAAACTAATGAAATAAATTTAATCAAAATTCTTTCAACCCTATGATCACTTATCTGTAATATTATATTAATAATTTCACAGTTAAGTATATTCTTTTATTGTATATTATATCCATAAGTACTTATTTCTCACAAGGGCTATCTTTAACACCGTGAAGTTAGGATTTGGTCCATTATATTAAGACATATTTGATAGAGAGATAAAAATATACGCGACTCTAGGTATACGTATACGAGGTTGTACCTTCAATAGGATTTGAAATTCTGCAAGTGTGTGTATGCCATGAGCTCTGTGTCAGAAATGTGCATACGTGTGTGACCTGTGTGTGCTGTCTGGTCTTTCATTCAGAAATATTGATTTAATCCAGCATAATCCCTTCTGATCTGCAGTCAGAGCTGATTTAAGAGATTACTGATGGCACTGCCTCCTAACTCTTCTGAAACTGCTTTCCTTATGTGTTCTTAGATGAGTCCATCATTCTGGGCTGCAACTCTAAAGGAAAACTAGATTTTAGGCGACTATGGCAAGAAACTTCATTGGATGTTTGGGAACTAAAAAGAAAAAACAGACTCAGCTGGGGGATGAGGTTTATGTATTTTTTTCATGTGTGTATTATGCTACCTCTGATTTACATAGCACTGAGCGTGTGTGTGTGTGTGTGCATATATTATTCATATACAGAACGACAAACTATTTTACCCAATATGCTTTAAGGTAACAAGAAATGGTGTTTTCAATTCATTTACCTCTGCTATCTGATGTATTTTCAAGTGAAATAGGATATTTAATCCCCCCCCCCCCCCCCCAAAAAAAAAATGTTGAAAAGGATTTGATTTTATCCAGGAGTTGACTGGATCATGAAAAACAGTATCTATATCCTCCTGAGACCCAGAAAAAAAAAGTTTTTTGAATTTAGTTTTTTTCCATGTCATCACACTGTTTAGAGCACAATAAACAAATGGTAAAAAAACATATATATAAAATAATATTTTATTCATACGTTATGCTATGTCCTCTGTAGTGGACGCCAGGACTAAGTTGTTTAAAAAATAAAATGACATGAAATTATATGTATAGGCAAAACCAATGGGATTTTTTTTTCAATCACCAATACATTTTGGGGTTTCAGGATTTTTTCAACCAAAATTTGTATAAAGATTATTCTCAACTATGTTATGAAAGAAATAATGGAATGAATTGATACACCATTTTACTTTTTGCAATATGTGGGTAAAATGGCCATAAGTTAATATTCCCATTCAATGCAATGTATCTATACACTGTATCTAATTTGCACATTAATGTGTTCTTGGAGCAACATTTAATGAAAAAATAAGGGTAATAATTGGAGTAATAATTGGCAACATTTTAATAATAATATCTAATATTTCATAGGAATATTGATGTATAATTTATTTCCATATTCACTTGTTGTGTCTCCCAGAATGCCTGATAAACATGATTTTAGTCCTGATGTCCTCTACAGTGGACACGTTTGAAATCAATGTCCTGTTTTGTAACAGAAAGTAATTTTTTTATTTGAAAGCCCTTAACATTTTCCTGAGATGTTGTTTTATGAAATACAATTTGAAAAGTAGTCCAATTTAAATTATAATTACAATATATTATCATATTTCCATAAGAATGCTACATTTGATCACTAAATTAATGTCAGACATTTTTAAAGACCAAGGAGAAGTTGTTTTCATGGTGAAACCTCTAAAACATTTGGTATCTCTGAAAAGTTCTGAATGTGCTCTTTACAGGACACCCAGGTTGTGTCATGTGACATGTATGATGTCAGAGAAATTCACTAAAATATAATGTCCACTACAGTGGACAAAAGTCTATTCTTGGGTCCCAGGAGGTTATAGCAGGTGATTTGTAGGGAAGGATTGAAAATAAGAGGCATTGGTGATGCTCAATGAAAAGGAAAGTTATGATGAAAGATTGAAAAAACAAACAGGTTTTTCTTTGGAACCAGGACCAGGAACATGTACTAAGACATTTATTTTAGTAACTTATTACCCATTTACTCAATTTCTTTGTATTTGCTGTCTTGTGACTGCATTGTTTGTATCTTTCAGAATTATCGTCAGTGTATGGCTGGACTACTGGTCCCTCCCTATGGTGTTATGGATAGTGTCCCAAATGCTAACAGTAAGTACAGTACAAACACTTGTCTTCGTTCTTAAAGGGCCTCTTCACCCAAACAATGATAATTCACTGATAAATGTACTCACTGATGTTGTTCCACACATGCATGACTGTCATTCTTCTGTGGAACACAGTTTTTCAGAATCTCTAAACTGCTATTTTTTTCATAAAACTAAAGCATATTGTAAACAGAGTCTGTCAAGCAAAAAATTCCTTGAAAGTATAATTTAAGTAGTGCAACTTGTGTGGTTGTTACATGTCCTCTGAAGCCATACAATAGCTTTTTTTTTTGTAAAATATCAAAACATACACCACTGTTCAAAAGTTTAGAGTTGGAATGTTTGACCAAGGCTGTACATTTATTTGAACATAATACAGTAAAAACAGTAAAATTGAAATATTATTAGAATAAAAGTTCAAATGTAATTTATTTCTGTGATGGAACCAGCCATTACTTCCATCTTCAGTGTCACATGATCCTTCAGAAATCATTCTAATATGCTGATTTTCTGCTCAAGAAACATTTCTTAATATCATCAATGTTGAAAACAGTTGTGCTGCTTCATATATTTGCGGGAATTATGATACATGTTAATATGTTATAGCAGTATGTTACTGCCCCTTTTCATCAATATAATTCATCCTTTGCAGAATACAAGTATTCATTTCTTTTAAAAAAAAGGCAGCTATGCTGTAACTCTTTTTCTCAGTTGTGCTTCAGTATAATCAAACTTGGCACATTGCGATCAGTTCTTGAGGGTTTTTACTGAAGCTAATGTTCTCTACACTATAGAGAGGTCTATACAACATAAGGTTCTTTATATCTATAATTTATACTTTTTAAAATAAATTAGCGTGTTTTAAAATTGTAAAATGACTCTTTTTGTCTGACTTCCGGTATCCCCATATCAGAGGGACCCCTCACCTCTGGGAAGAGGTCAATCCAGCCATAGGGCCTCTTCTGATTTTTCAAAAGAAAGGTTTTATTTTATTTTTATGACTGAGTAAGGAATTCTCGTTGAGGAAGGAACACTACGGAGACCACATCCTACCCAAAGGGGGAGGTTAGTATGTGGAAAACACATCCTCACCAGATGGAGAGTACTACATAGGGAAGAGTCCCTGTGGAGGACTCCACCTGATAAGGGGGAGACTACTGGGCACAGCGACACTACATACGGAGTACAAGCCAGATTACATCATGTCATGATCATGAAAGGGGTATACCATGAGTAATGGGGCTGGTAGTGAGTACCGAACTTACTACTGATGAGTGCTAGGAGGTAGAAAAGATGTCCTGGGTTCACCAAACCAGGGGAACTCTTTAGGACGACAAGGCACACGTTACCACCTCAGAGAGGGGGAGGGCCCCTATGCAAGCACTACACCCAACCAGTTGTCCAAGTTTTGCATGTTGTTACCCAAGACTCGACATGAAACTGGTTCCATACTGAGATTATAGAATCTCGCTATGGTGTTGAGTGTAGCCCAGCCTGCAGCTCTACATACAGTATGTCTGCTAGTGAAGCACCGTTCACCAAAGCCTTCGTGGCTGTGATACCCCTTGTGGGGTGAGCTCTCACTCCCAATGTGCACAGTACACCTTGGGTCTGATAAGCCCAGAGAATGGCATCCACAGTCCAGTTGGTCAATCTCTGTTTGGAGACAGCCTTTCTGCTGACCTCCGAAGCAGACAAAGAGCTGCTCAGATCTTCTGAAGCTCTGTGTGCGGTCCAGGTATATGTGCAAAGTGTGCACTGGACACAATAGATTCAGCGCTGGGTCTCCCTCATCAGGAGGGATTGCTTGCAAGTTCTCCACTTGGTCCCTGAAGGGAGTAGTGGGAAGTTTGGGCACACATTCAGGCTGGGGTCTCAGGACCACGTGAGAGTGTGACGGCCAGGATTCCAGCCACGATTCACTTACAGAGAAGGCTTGTAGGTCCCTCACCCTCTTGACAGAGGTGAGCTCAATCAACATGGATCTTTCTGTAAGGCGGCGGCCTGTAGGTCCAAAGAAAGATCTTATGAGGGGACAAGGCGATTCAACCTGCATGCACCTCTCAGGAACATATTTATCAGGTCATGCTTCCACAAAGACCTGCCACTCACAGTGTCGTGGTTTGCTGCTATCGGAGAAACATACACTTTTAGGGTGGAGGCGGACCAGCACCTCTCCAGGCCCTGTTGGAGGAAGGAAATCACAGACCAGACAGCACATTTTCATGGGTCTTCACCTCGGGAAGGACCATGTAGTGAAGAGGTGCCCCTTCAAGGCATACAGCTGCCTAGAAGAGGGGGCTCTTGCCTGAATGTTATAGTATGTATCATCGCTGGTGATAGGCCTCTGAATTCCTTCTCGTCCCATCCAGGGACCAGACATGGAGGTTCCAGAGGTCTGGGCGCGTGTGCAGGGCCGTCCATAAGGGGGGATAAAGGGGAACGTTTTCTGGGGCACAGCCGCTAGGGGGGGCCCATGCAGTCCAGCAATAATTATGTTCATCCTAAATATAAGCAAAGGTTACCATATTTTATTTTTAACCAAAATAGCACCATTTATTGTTGATAGTGAGAAAAAAATCCATTTTATTTCATGTTGCTTGAGTAAAATGTAGCCTGTGTCATAATGAAACACCCCTCTCCTGAAAATGGTCTGAGTTGGCTATTTTGTTGTACGTAAGTCAAAACGCCAGTGCTTCGCGAGTTCGCGCCAGTTCGCGGTCAGCAGCACAAGTGAGTGACACGATGGAGTGCGCGAATTGACACGGTAAGACCATAGACAGTAAAAGAAAAAGTAAGACCTATTGCTCACCATCTCCCCAGTGTGATTGAAGCAATCGATTGCCTAAAATCGTCCTGTAAATTATCTAATGAGGCCTTATCAGATGCGCGAGGACTGAGAGAATATTTCATGTCATTTACAGCAGTTGTCATGTGCACCGTCCAGCTAAAACTACTACAACATATCGAAGATAGGATGGAATTTGCTTCTACAGAGTGGCAGCCTTATGGTGTGTTCACACCGAACGCGAATAGAGCGTCAAATACGCGTCTATCGCGTCTAGTTAGACGCTTGAATATTCGCTCGAGTTCAACATTTTTCAACTTGCGCGGAAGACGTTCACGGCAAACGCGTCGCCCAATTCGCGTCATTCGCAACGCCCGGCGCGAATGATGCGTCTATTCGCGTCTTTGCATTGACTTTGTATGTAATCTACTCGCGCAAATAATTAAAGTCCCCGTGAACCGGAAGTTGCAAACGACTTTTCTCCAGTGTTGTGACGTATTTCCGAGAGAAACGGAATACTAAATGAGGCAAAATAGTGGGCGTGGCTTTTTCCCTAACTAGCACCTGATTGGATCTAGAAAAGTAGGTGTTTTCATTCAGCCTGTCTACTGTCAGTTGGAGGGGCGTGATTACGGATGTTAAGAAGACGCCCAAACCGTGAAACCTACGTCATCAGGGAAAGTCCTCCAACGCAGAGGGGAGGGGAAATTTCCGATTTTGATTAAAGATTATGAAGCCAAAACATTTTTTTGTTTGGATTGACTTGCATGGATGAATTGTTCACCACAAAACGATCAATTTAGGCAAACAAAGTAAGTATGGTCAATTTTGAATTCATGGGGACTTTAAATACGCGGTCGGTGTGAACACACCATTAGATATTGGACAGGTCGTGGGAATGGGGTTGTTTCATGACAATTTTCTTTCTTTTTTCATTGGTTGTTGCGTTAAATCGTACCCAGATACAATAGTGCTATTTTCTGATTGGCTTTTGTGTAGCTCGACTAACAACACAGAGGAGACGCGCTTGATTCCTGCCGGGTGAGAGCCATTTTGGGCGCTGCGGCAAATTCTATTATAAATCGTTTTTCCGCGTGAGAAATACAATATGTGGCGGGAGTGCGTGACAAAATACCGAAATGAGTGACTGTCATGCTCAATGCGTGACACTTGAGATCCCTGTGTGTGTGTGTGTGTGTGTGTGTGTGTGTGTGTGTGTGTGTGTGTGTGTGTGTGTGTGTGTGTAACTATAGACCCCATCACTGAGTAAGTCTCTCTCAGTTAAATGTATGTGTTAATGTTGGAGAGAGAGAGAGCACACGCATGATATGAGTAGCCTATTGCAGATTTGGGGAGGGCCCATTCACTGGACCTTTTCAGGGGCCCAGTCATTTCTGTGGGCGGGCCTGCGCGTGTGTCAGATTTTGCCCTGCCCCTGAGAAAGAAGGTCCCTTTTGCCAGGAAGAGGCCTACACCATTAGCGTGAGCTCCGAGTACCAAGTTTGGTTGGGCCAGTATGGCAAAACAATTAGTAATTATTCTTCTTCCCTGACTTTGCACAGTGTCTGTGCAATGAGGCTCACTAGGGTAAACGCATACTTACGCAGGCCCCGGGGGCCAGCTGTGAGCCAGTGCGTCCTTGCCAAGGGGACTTCGGTCAGGGAATACCACAGTGGACAGTGGGAGGATTCATGGGAGGCGAACAGGTCTGCCTGTGCTTCCCCGAATCGACTCCAGATCAGCTGGGCCACCTGGGAATGGAGTCTCCACTCCCCGAAGCGTAGCTTGACGCAAGAGCGCATCGGCTGCAAGGTTGAGGTCACCCAGGATGTGAGTGGCTTGCAGTGCTGCTGACTTCAAAGGAGGAGATGGCGGGTGAGTTGTGACATGCTACGAGAACGGATACCGCCTTGGTGATTTATATACACCATTGTCACTTTGTTTTACGTCCGGACCAACACGTGCTTGCCCTGAATCAACGGATGAAACCTCCACAGGGCTAGCAACGCTGCCACCAACTCAAGGTATTTGATGTGCCAGTGCTATCGGGGCAGAGTCCAGGGTCCCGAGGCTGTGTGCCCATTGCATACAGCGCTCCAGCCTGTCTTGGAAGCGTCTGTTGTAACAACAACATGCCTGGACACTTCTTCTAGGGGAACTCTTGCCCTTAGAAATGCAAGATCTGATCAGGGGCTGAATAAGCGATGGTAAATCAGCATGATGGCCACGCGATGTATGCCGTGGCGCAATGGCTATCTCGGGACTCAAGCCTGAAGCCAATGCTGAAGTGGTCTCATATGCATCTACCCCAGCAGCGTGACTGCGGGCGAGGATGCCACATGCCCCAGGGGCCTCTGAAAATATTTCAGTGGTACTGCTGTTTTGTGCTTGAACAATTTCAAGCAGTTCAGTATCGACTGCGCACGGTCTTGTGAAAGATATGCTGTCATGTTGATCGAGTACAACTCCACACCGATAAAAGAGATGGTCTGCACTGGGGAGAGCTTGTTCTTTTCCCAGTTGACCCAAAGTCCCAATGGGTGCTCGAGGACCAAGTCCCTTTGCGCACACAACAACTCTTGCGAGTGGGCTAGGATTAGCCAGTCGTCGAGGTAGATGAGTATGTGAATGCCCACCTTTCTTAACGGGGCAAGGGCAGCTTCTGTGACCTTTGTAAAGACACAAGGAGACATGGACAACCCGAAAGGGAGGCCTTTGTATTTGTATGCTTGTCCCCCAAAAGCAAACCGTAGAAACGGCCTGTGCTGAGGAAGCATACAAATATAAATGTATGTATCCTTCAGGTCTATCACCGCAAACCAATCTTGATGTAAAACAACATGTTTCTGTGGGGGAATCTCAGTTCATGTTAAATTCAAAATGTATTTAAAGCTGCTGTCCGTAGCTTTTTTTGGGTTAAAAATTATCCAAAATACATATTTGATAAAATACATAACCAGCCAGTGTTCAAAACTATCTGCTTGCCTTAGCTCGATTCAAAGCGGTAAGCTTGTAATAATGTTTTTTTAACTCCAGTGGTACTGGTGGATTTCCGCGGGAGATTCGAGCATGTCTTTGCGTCATTACGCCACATCTGTACACATAAAGAAGGAGTCTCGGCTAGTTTAAGCTATATTGCGTGTGAGGATGCTGGAGGTGGAGATTTATAGCCTTTTCTCACAGCACTTGATATAATTAAACTTATCAATTTGATGGCGGATCCAGAAAGGTTCAAACGACAATCACCAGGTGACAACAGATTCACCCGCTGTAAAATGCAAAAGACTTCGTTCGGACTTCAGAGTGGCTACAGAAAAAAAGAGACTGCAACCGGACCCATGCGAAAACAAGGATAATATCGGAAGGACATTACATGTAGGCTAGTCACGCAATGCTGACGTTGTTAACATTAACAATGTGAGAACAAAGTATAATTTGCACGGTTTCGCGTGATATGATAACTTATAAGCGATTGTTAGATTTAATCAGCGCGATTTACTGCAATGTCAGAACCAGAACAAAGGTGGATGTTTCTTACTTGTTCAGATGACATTTTCCGGTGAAAATTCTTATGTTGGTCATACTTCCAAAAAGAATAGGCTAATCTGTGATTCTGAATGCATCCACACTGGCGCGGTGATTGACAGCTGCTCACTCTCCTCAAACACTGTGTTCATCCGCGCTGTGCCGTGTTGAGAGGGTGTTGAAGTATAACTCTCGTTGAAGACTTCGAACAGAGATGGCGACAGTGCGACAAAGAGGAAAAACGCTGGACTGCAGCTTTAATATTTTTTTCAAATGAAAAGTTGAATACAAAACGGTTGTATTTTTAATGCTAATAGGACCATATTGTAAATTGTTACAGATATGTCGATGTTGCTGTGTTGAGTCATTGCTCTCTATTTATACGAAGAGGGGTGTGCTGTTTTATGTAAAAGAGTCTTCCAGGACTGGATACTTTAAGAGAGTTATTGTTCCTGCAGGAGAAAGCATTTGTGGTCTGGGTAATGACCCACCCCTGCTCCCCGTGGCCCCTCAGGGCCCATTACTGAAGATTACACACATCCTGCATCCCCATGATGACTTTACATACGATATTTAATCTTCTTGCTTAACTATCGCTTCTACTCAATCTGCTGATTTTTAACCCTCTGGGGTCTGAGGTGTTTTCTGGGCCCTGGAGGTGTTCTGACATGCTCTGACATTTATGCTTTTTTCTGATACTTGTGACATTTTCATGGCTAGAGTCTGATTACACTGTATTCAGCACAAACTCTGTTACAATAATATGTCAGCAGCATGTATGTAAAAGTTTTTAGTTTTGAGATAATGACGTTTATGCGTGGTTTGTGAAAAAACTAAAAAACATTGTCACTGAAATAAGGTCATGAAACCCATACTAATTATTTCTTCACAAGACTTTTGAAAATTGTATCACATAGCCTAGAATATTTGCTTCAAAACTATGTGAAAATCATCCTGATTACGCATTCAGATAAGTCAATAAAGTATTTTAAAATTGTTATGACATGTTTTGTGTAAGAAAGCTTTATGCGGGTAGGCGTTAACCACCCATTAATATTGATGGGTTTCACACCTGAGAAAGACAAAGACCCTCCCCTAATGGCCCTATTAGGTGCTATCAGGCCCCATCATTACGAGGAGCCTTGCACAAAGTATGAAATTTAAAAAAGAATGGATTTTAGATTGTTTGGATTTATTTACAACACAACATAATCCAAAGATACACAACAAAGGACAAAAAAGCACATTAGTAAACACACTGATCTAAAGACAGAGGCTTGAACAGTCACACAACTTGTGCCATTCCTGAAACATAGTACATACCTGTCATCTCCAAGGTGTTTGATTTTTCACTTAACCATGTTCATGTACAGTCTCCTGTGAATGTTGAAGTCAGCAGGACTCATCAGTGGCATCTTGTCCCTGTAAAAAATAAATAAAATAAATAAACACATGGGAACATGCTGATATCAAGAGAAACTATAGGGCTGCACGATTTGGGGAATTCATTTTATATTTTTCTGGTTAAAATTATTATTAAATATATATAAAAACACCACGTTTGTTGTGCATTGTTATAGCCTATGTATAGGGCTACATAAAATAATAACAGATAGATTGCAGGCGGCCTATATCGTTAAAAATTAACACTTCAGTAACACTACACTAGACCAAAATATATGGATTATCATGTTACTTCAAACGTTTCCATTCATTATGAAATGAGATTGGAGAAAAACATGAAGCCTAATGTTTGGTGTGTTTTGCTTTTCAAACCCACAGCGCAAGTGACTCAAACTCAGCGTGTGCAGAGAACGTTTACTGAAGCGATCGAGCCGCTCCAAACTATGAAACATTATTGTTACATTATACATAGCCTATCTACGTTTGAGCAGATATCCACAAACACAGTATTTAACAGTAAACACGGGTCTAAACATTATAATATTCACCATTGAAGAATAAGCATACTTTATATCATGCTGTTTAATTATCGAAGATAAAAACATTCTTGTGTGTACATGTATATTCACTCCAATCTCATTTCATAACATTTTAGTCTGGCACCAGTTTAACTAGTAGCTACAATGTAAAGTATATACAACCATAAGACGCTTAGTATGTGTCTTACCTTAAAAAATCGTTCCCATAATCAAATCGTGTTCTTCTAATTCTTCTGAGGCAAATCCAAGGTGCCCAGACCAAACACTTCCAAACTCGACGAAAAGCAGAGCATGACTGAAGTCGCTGAATCTTTGTTTAGAGGTGATGAGGGCGTTGCGTTCCTTCACGTGGATCATTTGAATTTGAACAGCTCGCGCGCGTGTGGCCGTGGTCACATTAGATCTAATGAGCTCAGGCTGAAGAAACTGTACATGTCGTTGCTTTCATATGGATTACTTAAACAGAGAATATTTGTTTTTGGTATGATTTACATCATTTACAAATGGAGACTTAAAGCTTTGTAAAGACATAACTCTCACATGTGGATGGCAAGTATTTGCTGAGTTAAAGATAATTTTCTGTCGCGTTTCATAATGAACTTCACATTGAGAGAGACGACAAAATGCGCATCATGTTTATTTTCTTTATTTTACGAAAAACAACATTTTGTTTTTATTATTAATGTACACAAATGAAAATGGACATTTAACAGTTTTGAATGATGTATAACACTTGCCTGTATCACAAAAATCGAAAGAGTTATTTGAGTCTCTTTTGCACTGATAAGAAAAAAAGTGAGCTGGTATCGCCGGCGAGACCGCCGACCCCAGGGGGTTAATCTTGCCTTGACTAAATGATTGATGCTCATATTAGGTTTTAAAGACTTGATATTTATTTAATTAATTGATTTGTCATATTTTTTTTCCCCCATAGGAATGCCTGACAAAGAGAATCTGAGCAACAGTTCACCCGGATCATCATCCAAACACTTAAATAAGGTTTGTTTTAACCCTAAAATACAAGCATATATCTTTGAAATCTTCCACTGTTCATCAGGACACATGTTCACTATCCTGTCTAAAGTCATGACCATCTGATGACAGTCTCTGTGATTGTCATCTTGTGGACCCCAAAAGTGAAAGGTCTGTCATCATTTACTCATCCTAATGTCGTTCCAAATAATTCTTCAGTTGAACACAGAAGTTAGTCAAAATGCCTTGAGTGCTCTTTCCATGCAATGAAAGTTAATGGGGGACTGGTGCTGTCAATCTCCAGAATAGAAAATAAAATACCATAAAAATATCAAAACAGTAGTCCATATGACTCTTTCACCCTATTCTCAGAGTTGTTTGTAATCATATATTATAATATGTAAAGAACCGACTGAAACTTAAGCAGTTCACTGATAATCTTCCCCTCTGCCACAGCTGTCAAATCTCCAAGATGCATAAATGAATGCTGATTGAGGTTTTATTTGAAATGTTCGTCATTCAACAATATTATACTATTGGTGTGAAGGACTGTGTATGTTCACGTCTGTCTGCATAATAACTTTTTTTTCAAGACGTAATTTTTGCCCTCATTTTGAGGTGGTTTGTTAAAAATGTAGTGCTACTGTGAAATCTGATGCAAACTCTCTGCGGCTTCATGCCTGACACCAGGAAGCAAACTTATAGTGAAACAACTTCGGCCTGACTTTTATAAATAAGCAATATCTAAAAACTTGCACAGAAAATGGATTTCTCCTAGTCTGCTAATGGGAAGTCCATTTAAGACATTGTTGGACTCATCTGATGAGCAGAGAGAGTTTGATTATTGTTATTTCTCCTGTTTGCGTCAGTTCTGATAAAACTGCATCCTTCCTTCCCACCATCTCCTCCATAGAATACAACATTTGTTTGAAATTTAAAAATGAACTAGGCAGCTCTGGCATCCTCTCTCCCATTTCTGAGCATGTGCCCATTTGGAGTTCCTGTTCCTCTGACCTCTCAGGTCATTTCAAGTGCTTTGTTTTTCCTTTTTCTTTTTTTGTTTCTATAATGATGCATCCAAATAGCAGGTGATCAATATTGGCCACAACAGAGTGTCTGTGATTTGCATAATGGTGTTGTTTTATTCACTTAAGTCTGAATCTGTCTTAAGGCAGAAGGCAGAATCTGTCTTATGTGAGTTACATAATCGTTATGTAATGTAGGAACACACTTCCTCCGAGTGTACAAATCATGCTGTAAGATGCTGAAGATCTCAGCAGACAGACACACTTAAATTGATTTGAACTTGGATGAGTTCACTGGTAATACTGCTCAGAGTCTGTTCTGTACTAGTTAAGCTTTGCATAGCTTGGCTTGATTGCAGACAGAATTGGTTTGTTTGGAACAAAAACAAATTTGAGATATTTTTGCTTCTTAGCTCTTAGTTTCAATTAAAGTTTTGAGATGATTTTTTATAGTGCATTATATTTAATATTTTACTTTTATTTATATATGTATATACATAAATTTATAAAACATTTACATTTACAATATACATTTTAATGTATATTAAAAGGGAAATGAAATAAAAAAGAATCAAAAGTATATATATATAAAAAATTTTCTTAAAGGTGCATTGCGCAACATTTCATGTTAAAAATACCCGTTTTTCTAACCCATACCAAATTGGAGTCAGACAGGCGTCGGAATAAGACGAGAGTCAACCTCGGGAAGGCTTTCAACAAATGGAGAGATCTCCGGTCTGCTCTAGGGCTCAAACGGGATCCTCAGTTGGCTTTTTACAAAGTAATAACTTATATTGTTCATGAACGTGATTCCATAATAATACAATCATAAGTGGATACAGTAAACACATAAAACAGTTCAACATGGAGATAGATGGAAACAAAAACCGAAGTTTTCTACTACCCCCGTTTACCCCCTCACACATAAGTGTGTAATTTACTCAAATGCCTTTCCTTTCATATATTTAAAATGACTTGCAGATTTGTAACTTTATTACCTCTGAAGACATTATGACTGTAAACAAAAGATTTGTGCGGCTGATGCTTCTTTGGTTATGAACAGCTCGTGCAAGCGTGCGTGTGGTCCATGAGCGTGCACACCTCTGGTTGCAGTTTCGCTTGTCGCCAGAGGGGGCGTAGTTCTGCAAAAACTCAGAGACTTGCGCAGTGCACCTTTAACACTATTTTCAATGCATTTCTTTTGATTCTTTTTTATTTCATTTCCCTTTTAATATACATTTATTATGGTCCTTACAAGGCAAGAAAATTAACTGATATAACCATACTTCACCTGTTGTTTAATCACTCTACACTAAGACAATACATTTTGTATTTCAAGATTGTTGATTCAAAATGTTGTTTAAATATGGAAATGAGGCATTATCTAATTAAAAATGCTGATGATAATAGATAAAGTGTAATAAAATAAACACTTAAATGTGTTTTTTGGATGTTTTCTTCCCACTAGTCTGAAAGAAGACAAATTATGGAAGTAAAATACACTATATGGACAAACATACATTTAAATACATGGACATTAATATGGAGTTGATCCCCCTTTGCTTCTTGCTCTGCTGGGAAGGCTTTCCACAATATTTCGGAGTGTTTCTGTGGGAATTTTTGCCCATTCATCCAGTAGAGCATTTGTGAGGTCAGGCACTGATGTTGAACGAGAAGGCCTGACTCACAATCTATGTTCCAGGTCATCCCAAAGGCTACATTTCAGTGGGGTTGATGTCAGGGCTCTCTGCGGGCCAGTCAAGTTCTTCCACACCAAACTCATCTAACCATGCCTTTATGAACCTTGCTTTGTGCACTGGGGCACAATCATGCTGAAATAGACAAGGGCCTTCACAGTTCCCACAAAGTTGGAAACATAGCATTGTCTAAAATGTCTTGGTATGCTGAAGCATTAAGATTTGCTTTCACTGGAAGTAAGGGGCCAAGGCCAACCCCTTGAAAAACAGTCCCGTACCATTATCCCCCCTTCACCAAACATTACAGTTGGCACAATGCAGTCTGGCAGGTACCGTTCTCCAGGTATCCAATAAACTCACACTTGCCCATCAGACTGCCAAACAGAGAAACGTGATTCGTCACTCCACAGGTTTCCACTGCTCCAGAGTCCAGTGACGGTGCGCTTTACACCACTCCATACCACGCTTTGCATTGTATGTGGTGATGTGATGTTTGCATGCAGCTGCTCGGCCATGAAAACCCATTCCATGAAGCTCCCGCCGCACAGTTTTTGTTTGGAGCTCTTCAGCTAATGACCCAGCTCTATGACTTTACATGGTCTTCCGCTTTGTGGCTGTTGCTGCTGTTCCTAAATGTTTCCAATTTCCAATAATACCACTTACAGTTGATCGTGGACTCTAGCAGGGGTGAAATTTCACTTATTGCAAAAGTGGCGTCCTATCACAGTACCACGCTTGAATTCACTGAGGTCTCAAAACGACCCATTTCTCCCACAAATGTTAGTTAAAACACTGCATGGCTAGGTGCTTGATTTTATACATCTGACGCATCTGAGGTCTGATTAAAACACCTTTGCTGTGGACGAAATCGCCCCCTATACCCTTAAATATGGCATTATTTGAAGGGACAGCCATTGTAGTGGTGTCTGAAACCATAGTGGACATAATTGAGTGCACTCATTCAATCCCACAATGCAATGATGAGTGTACAACCAATGTATGCTCAACTGCTAGAGAATACCCATAATGCACTGTGAGCTGAATCATTCATCCATCCATTTTGAACTAATGTAGGGAATGGGGAATGAGGGTATTGGGGCGATTTTGGACACAGCCCTGAATTCAAGAATTAAGAGGAGTGTCCCAATACTTTTGTCCATATAGTGTATCTCAAAATTGAACAGTACTTGAAAAAAACAATATATTTGCCTGTAGTGTCTTGCCTCAAATGTAATGTGTTAATTCTACTGGCAAAACAGAACCCAAGACAATGTGTTGTTGTAGAAGTACAGCCTGGGTGAGGATGGTAATGAATATTTGAAAAGGTTTGGTTAAAAATACAGCTCACTGGCCTTGGCCAAGAGTTGTTCCTCCAGTGTGGCAGGAGGGAAAGCAGTGCCACAGACACACCTTCTGTTCACAGCCCTGATAAAGACTGCAGTATGACACGAATCTTGCTTGAAATTATGACATGTAAATTTTAATGTAATATGAGAAGACATCAGCAGAATTCTACACAAGCTGCTTGTGATGACATTTGTTCTGATATTAAAGCACATGCTAATGGATTTGTTTAATAAATTGGCACATTCCAAGAATAGGGTACAGAGTAATCAATGTATGTTTGCAACCATAATTTAATTTACTTAATTTACATGTGTAAATATAGTTTAAAAAGATTTCATTATTCTATAGCCATTTATTCTATAGCAATAAATGAATTAATGAAAGTTAATTATTTACTCAATAATTAAACATATTATAGGTTCAAATAAATAGGTGAGTGAGTGTGAAAATATAGAACATTGTAAAAATGTAGATTATTTATGTGAAAATTAAAAAATTTCTTCTCATTATTATTATGATTTATATATCTTCTTCTTCCTCCTCCTCTTCTTCTTATTATTATTATATAAGTCCAGTGACACTAGTTTTGTGTAAGTCATGATGTTGTAAATTCTTTTTGGAAACGTAATGCCTCAGCATATGAGATGTTATGATATTGTTTATTGTGCATTTTCCCATAAATATAGTTAGTTTGAATATAGTCTGAATATTTCACAGAAAGCCGTCCTTTATTATTCAGAAGATTTAAAGTTTACCCTGTTACTATTTCACTGTGTATTTGTGCTCTATGAAGGTTAAAAAAACACTGAAGAATAAACCTAATAGTCCCACATTCTCATCCTTTTGTTTTCCAGAAATTATTAATTCAAAGTCCCATCAAACATCACCCCAAATCCATTACTCAGGTATTCAACCATCCTGTTGTTTGTTAGTCCAACTCCTGTCAATCACAGTGTTGAATTGTGTAACATTATGTTATGTATAGAGTGGTTTATGCCTCTCTCTTTGTTTCTGTGCATTAATGTTTGTCTCTAGGTGCCGTCAGAAAAGATCCTACGGGCAGGTGAAGTGTTACGAAACACCATTTTGTTCCGAGCACCTCAAATGATCAGAGACAGGAAGTATCACCTAAAAACATACAGGTATTATATATATATATATATACATTTTATACTTTATTATCACATTTTTTAAAGTGCACTTTGTAATCATTTAAAATTAAAACATTTACTTCAAAATAAATCATCATTTTTAATCATTAAATCCTTGTTTTAATATTTTTTTGTTGTGCTTTAAAGTACACTTATTTTGGTGAGTTGACTAACATACTAAAGCACATTGTAAAGGTCTTGATTATAATTTTAACTAGTTTGTTATTTAATATTACATTTAAAGTCGATATATTTTAAACATACTAGATTGCAATGACATTACAAATATGTAATTTCAAATGTATTTTACATACTGTCTGACATACTGTGAGTAGGCTGTAGTAAGCGCACGATCACAAAGGATAAGAAAAGGAGTCTTTTAGTCGTTGCAAATCTGGTGGTTTTAGGGATATTACACAATGCACCTTTAAGTACAGTAACATAGTAAAAATACTTTGTTACTGTCCACCACTGGTGTTGAGTGGCTTAATGGATGATTCATTTGAAGTATCCTGCACACCTGTGTTTGTTGTAGGCGGTGCTGTATGGGCACAGAGCTTGTTGATTGGCTGTCACAGCACACTTCCTGTGTGCACTCTCGTGTTCAGGCTGTGGGGATGTGGCAGGTGCTGCTGGAGGAGGGAGTCTTAAACCACGGTGAGTGTGTCATACTCATTCACTTTCAAAGGTCAGTGACTGCTTAAGGCAGTAAATCACTGCACAACATGACCAAAAATAAAGAAATATATACACTCACCTAAAGGATTATTAGGAACACCATACTAATACTGTGTTTGACCCCCTTTCGCCTTCAGAACTGCCATAATTCTACGTGGCATTGATTCAACAAGATGCTGAAAGCATTCTTTAGAAATCTTGGCCCATATTGATAGGATAGCATCTTGTAGTTGATGGAGATTTGTGGGATGCACATCCAGGGCACGAAGCTCCCGTTCCACCACATCCCAAAGATGCTCTATTGGGTTGAGATCTGGTGACTGTGGAGGCCATTTTAGTACAGTGAACTCATTGTCATGTTCAAGAAACCAATTCCTGCTGGAAGTAGCCATCAGAGGATGGGTACATGGTGGCCATAAAGGGATGGACATGGTCAGAAACAATGCTCAGGTAGGCCGTGGCATTTAAACGATGCCCAATTGGCACTAAGGGGCCTAAAGTGTGCCAAGAAAACATCCCCCACACCATTACACCACCACCACCAGCCTGCACAGTGGTAACAAGGCATGATGGATCCACGTTCTCATTCTGTTTACGCCAAATTCTGACTCTACCATCTGAATGTCTCAACAGAAATCGAGACTCATCAGACCAGGCAACATTTTTCCAGTCTTCAACTGTTCAATTTTGGTGAGCTCTTGCAAATTGTAGCCTCTTTTTCCTATTTGTAGTGGAGATGAGTGGTAGCCGGTGGGGTCTTCTGCTGTTGTAGCCCATCCGCCCCAAGGTTGTGCGTGTTGTGGCTTCACAAATGCTTTGCTGCATACCTCGGTTGTAACGAGTGGTTATTTCAGTCAAAGTTGCTCTTCTATAAGCTTGAATCAGTCGGCCCATTCTCCTCTGACCTCTAGCATCAACAAGGCATTTTCGCCCACAGGACTGCCGCATACTGGATGTTTTTCCCTTTTCACACCAGTCTTTGTAAACCCTAGAAATGGTTGTGCGTGAAAATCCCAGTAACTGAGCAGATTGTGAAATACTCAGACCGGCCCGTCTGGCACCAACAACCATGCCACGCTCAAAATTGCTTGAATCACCTTTCTTTCCCATTCTGACATTCAGTTTGGAGTTCAGGAGATTGTCTTGCCCAGGACCACACCCCTAAATGGATTGAAACAACTGCCATGTGATTGGTTGATTAGATAATTGCATTAATGAGAAATTGAACAGGTGTTCCTAATAATCCTTTAGGTGAGTGTATATAAATGACCACAAAACAGTTTGAGAGAGCTCTTAATTAAGATCTATTATCCAGATGATAATTTCGCTTTGGATTGACATTATAAATGCGATGTGGTTGAATGTTTTTCTTTGTTTAATGGTTGATTTGTTCTTTGTGGTTCCTGTTCGGTGCTTTGCTGCAGTGGACCAGAAGCTGAGTTTCCAAGATAAGTATCTGTTTTATCGGTTCCTGGATGATGAGACAGAGGAGGCACCCCTCCCCAATGAGGAAGAGCAGAAAGAGAGTGATGAAGAACTGCAGGACACCCTCCTGCTCCTCTCTCAGATTGGACCTGACGCCCATCTAAGAATGATCCTGCGGAAACTGTACGTTCTTCCTCAGAAACACCAGCGCCTGCTAATACGAGTCATTACGTCCCCCCGAGGACTCTGGGCTATAAAGAGAAGTGCCTCGACGTGATCTGATCTGTATCTGCTACTGTTTGGCTGCTTTCCTACGAACTTTCCCACAATTCTCCAAAGACAGATTAGACTTTTATATGCATGCTGTAACTGAAGCAGAGACCTTTTAAAGGTCCTGGAAGATGTAACATCTGCACTAGGACTTTTTTGGTGCACACATTTGATCCACAAAAACTTTTTTAAATGTCAGAATAAGTTCCAAAGTCATTACTGCCCAATGACATCATTGTCCTTTCTGCTCTTCTCTGCAGGCCTGGCCAGAGGACAGGAGATGACTTGGAGATCATTTACGAGGAGCTGCTGCATATTAAAGCCTTATCACATCTCTCCACCACTGTAAGTCCACATAATGGCCTCATACACTGTGTAAAGTGTCTGGACGGACAACCGCATTTAAATATGGGAGTGAGTCCCCTGTGTGAACTGAACATGACTCACTCTGGAAACTGCGATGATTGATGACAATGATTGACTGTGATGATTTTAACTAAAGCACAGTTTTGTTGATGCTTGCAGGCTGCTTCACAGAGTTGCCACTTATTATAAGCGTTTTTGGGCATTGTTGTTAAAGGGTTAGTTCACCCAAAAATGTAAACTCTGTCAGTAATTACTCACCGTCATGTTGTTCAACCCCGTAAGACTTTCGTTCATCTTCGCAACACAAATTAAGATATTTTTGATTAAATCTGAGAGCTGGATCACTCCTCCATAGGCTTCTTAAGGGATCGAAACTGGCCGGCCCAAAAGTTATGAAAGACATCGTTAAAATAGTCAGAGTGACTACAGTGACTCAACCTTAAGTTTATCAAGCGACGAGAGTACTTTTTGTGCGCAAAAAACAAACAAAAATAACGACTTTATTCAACTATTCATTTCCTTCTCTGTTGGCCTCGAGATTTCACGTAGTGAAACTACGCAAAGCTTCTGTGTTGTACGTGAATAAATGAATAAAGTCGGTATTTTTTTTATTTATTTTTTTGCGTACAAAAACTATTCTCGTCGCTTGATAAACTTAAGATTGAGACACTGTAGTCACTCGGATTATTTTAACGATGTCTTTCATAACTTTTGGGCCGGCCAGTTTCGATCCCTTAAGAAGCCTATGGAGGAGTGATCCAGCTCTCAGATTTAATCAAAAATATCTTAATTTGTGTTGCGAAGATGAACAAAAGTCTTACGGGGTTGGAACAACATGAGGGTGAGTAATTACTGACAGAATTTTCATTTTTGGGTGAACTAACCCTTTAAGCCTTACCTTATAAAGCAATCGAGTTTATTGAGTTATTAAGTGAGCAGGTGCGGTCGCAATATTTTGGTTTTATTTTCAGCATAAAGCATTTTAGGCTTGTTCTTGTTTGCTGTTTTCCTAGGAAGACCTGGCAACACGAATGAGTCAAGGCTCGTATCACTGTGAAAGTGATTTATTGCACTGCACATACAGATGAGAGACACATCTCTGATACTTCATAAACAACTAGCTGTTCAGTTTAGAGTTTATTCGGTTGTAGAACAGAACAGGATTGAAAGTGCCATGTGAAGGCCAAGTTTGGTAACCCATACTTGGAATTTGTCCACTGCATTTAACCCATCCAAGTTAGTGCACACATATTAGGAGTAGTGAGTAGTGAACACACACACTGCAAACCATGGACACACACACCCAGAGCAGTGGGCAGCCATTTTGCTGCGGCGCCCGGGGAGCGATTGGCGGTTTGGTGCCTTGAGAATCGAACCCACAACATTCGAATTACCAGTCTGACTCTCTAACCATTAGGCCACGACTGCTTGTATCGCTAAAAGGTGAACTAACAACCGGATTTAACTGCCTATATGAGGTTAGTTAGAGGAAATTAGTTTTGTATACACACATTTCAGTAAAAGAACAATTTAGACAAAAATGAAAATTGTAACACTTTTTCTTTTGTGCAAACTGATTCTGTTCATCTGAATAAAGGACAAAAAAGAAGCCCACCCATGCTCTTGAGAAAAAGAAGTGCCCTGTGTAATATAATAAATGTGCAATTTTAGTGTGCTTCATTTCTTTTTCTTTTTTAAGAGCACATAAAACATGTATAAAAAACTGTACTTTGGGATCATATTTTTTTTAAAGAAATTAAAGGCCACTTAAGTGTACTTAATAATACACTTAAGCACACTTTGTAGTAGTCAAATTAAAGTTTTACGTTAAAGTACATTTTACTTTATTGTAATTTTAACTATAGTGGATTACTTGATACTAATTTTAAAGTTAATATATTTTAAATGTGTTGTATTGCAACAACATCATTACAAATGTGAAATTTCTAGCATCAAGCATCAATATAAATTGCACTACAATATATTTTAGTTCACCGTAAATGATTGTCAATACATTCAACTGTGCAATTTAACCCAATTCCAAAGTAAATAGAAGTCATATAAAAAATTACATATAAAGATGTACTTAAGTTCTACTTTTTTTTTATTTAATTGTGGTTAACATGCAGTTAAGTGTCTGAAAACATTATATTTGGTTTACACTTAATTATATTATATCCATAAGTACTCTTTACATAAGTGTGCTTCTCACAAGTATAGTGAGATAGTGTTTTATAGTCTATTAGTTTTATAGTCTATTTTTAAAGTCTATTATATAGTTCAAGTCTTCTGAAGTCAGCTTGTGTGAAGTTATTATTCTCTGAAAAATACTTTTGAGCCAGGTTTGACTTCATTAATGAGATATGCAAGAACAAACAATGTCAAAAACATCAAACCTGGTGTGGCCACATGTAAATGTACATGAATGAGATATAAAAGGTATGATTTTCAGCAAATAATGAATTTATGTCTGTTTCTTACATTCAGATCTTCTCCTTTTGTGTTCCTTTATCTATTCCTTTAATGCATGAATAGCACGCTGAGCATTAATGTGTGTATTGTTAAAAATGTCCTCTTCTTTGAAATAAAGCTTTTTTTCTTCATAATTACAGGGTGGCATGCGTTTCATCTGTAATATAGAGTCTATTGTGCTCTCTTTGCTCCTCAGGTGAAGCGGGAACTAGCTGGTGTTCTGATCTTTGAGTCGCACGCAAAAGCGGGCACAGTGTGTAAGTGTCCAAATGATTACACCACGTACATGCTAACTTCTCAAACCATACAGAAACAAACAGATTTTAAATGTCTGCTGGTATTTCTGATAAATGTCTCTGTGCTATTATAATCAGACGGGTTTCATGCTGATTATTGATCTCTTCTGTTCCTAGTGTTTAATCAAGGGGAAGAGGGGACGTCATGGTACATCATCCTGAAGGGCTCCGTTAACGTGGTGATCTATGGAAAGGTCAGACTAGTAATTCCCTACTAATGCTTTACATTCAACAGACTAATTAAGCGTTTAATGTGTGATAATGCTGGGCAGTAATGACTCTCAAACCAATTATAGTACATGCAAACCGTGCCAGGAAAGTGTGCGTGTGCTGGTGTCTGTTTGCTGGTTTGTCTGGCTGTGTTTAGATGATGTGTGTGTGTGTTTGCAGGGTGTAGTTTGTACGTTGCATGAGGGAGATGACTTCGGGAAGCTGGCTCTGGTGAATGACGCTCCTCGAGCAGCGTCTATCGTACTGAGAGAGGACAACTGCCACTTCCTGAGAGTGGACAAAGAAGACTTCAACAGAATCCTCAGGGTCAGTTATTCACTGCGTGTGCTTCATTACTGCAACTAATGGCCGAGTACTTCAACTTTATTTCAGTTAGTTGCCAGAGCAACATTTCTATTGTTTTTTTTTAAAGTTTTCATCTAATATTTTATTTATTTATTTACTAAAAATATTTTTAATTACCTAAGTTTTAGTTAACAATAACAACTTAATAGTGGTATTTTTAGTATTACTGAAAATGTATTATAGTTATAATTTATCTCTTATTTACTATATTTTTTGTTAATATTTTAAATTAGATTTTTTTTCTGTCTTCATTTCTCTCTTTTTTTTTTGTAATTTTGTTGTGTATTCTTTTCATTTTTATTAGTTTTAGTTTTTCCTGTAATATGTAGTTAGTTATATATAGTTTATATTTATCAGTTTTAATTAATTTAGTTTCATTTAATTTAGTTCAATTAAAATCAAATGAGAAATGTTGCCATGGCAGCAGGCTGAAATAAAATAAGTTTTGCTTTTATTTCATTTCAAATAACGATTTTTTTTTTTTGATTTTTTTTTTTAAAGTTAACGATAATAACCCTGGTATATACATATACATTTCTTATAGCATAAATCTTTTATTAAAAAAAAAAAAAAGAATACAAATTTAAATGGGTGAGTTGTAACAGATAGTGAATGAAAAGCAGGCAACATGTGAACTCCTTCAATATTGATTAAAAGCATCCCAGGATACAATTATTATTATTTTTTTTATAATATAATTTATACATTTATAAAGTGAATAGACAAAGAAGAAGCTCAATTTTAAAAGTCACTACATAATTCCTCTAATTGCATTTTTGCTAGTGTACTTTCAGCCTAATGACTAATTATCATCTAATTGTTTTCTCATGCTGTGTGTGTGTGTGTGTGTGTGTGTGCGCGTGCGTGTGTGCGTGTGCGTGTGCGTGTGCGTGTGTGTGTGTGTGTGTGTGTGTGTGTGCGTGTGCGTGTGCGTGTGCGTGTGTGTGTGTGTGTGTGTGTGTGTGTGTGCGTGTGTGTGTGTGTGTGCGTGTGCGTGTGTGCGTGTGCGTGTGCGTGTGCGTGTGTGTGTGTGTGTGTGTGTGTGTGTGTGCGTGTGCGTGTGCGTGTGTGTGTGTGTGTGTGTGTGTGTGTGTGTGTGTGTGTGTGCGTGTGTGTGTGTGTGTGCGTGTGTGTGTGTGTGTGTGTGTGTGTGTGTGGTATACTCGTCCCATCACCAGTACAGGGGAATCTCTCTCCCAGCGCTGTGACAATAGGGAGCTCAGCCCAGGAAAGCCTCAGCAGAATGGAAGCGGAAGCTCAGTCTGATAGCGAGGGTGTGTGTGTTAGTGTCTAACAGGATGCCGTCCATCTAAACAAATATAGTGAGATTTACTGAGATTTCACATTCTATGGTCATTTGTTGCATAGTTACACACAACATGATGCAACTGGAAAAAACTCTGTATTAATTTGATCAGATAGTCTATATGAAGGCTGCAACTGAAAGAAATGGTTAAGGACAATGGCATTTTAAATACAGACTGTACCTTATTTTTATAAATCCAAATAAAGCATTTGGTTACACTTTATTTTAAGGTGTCATTGTTACAGTGCAATTATATATTTAAGTACTGAGTAATATTAAGCAACTACTGTACATGTACTTCCTATAGGGTTAGGGTAGAATTAGGATTTGGTTGTGGTGGGTTAGATTCATGTAATTATGCACAATTTACTGTTATTACTATAGTAAGTACATGTATCATATGTAACAGGGACACTGTAAAATAAAGTGTTACCAAGCATGTTGCTCTAATCAATTTCTCTATGGACTTGAATACAATTTACTGAATATTTCAACCGTTATCACATAGGGAAAATATGCTGTTGACAAAATATAGCAGCACATGTTGCCTCTGTTGCAAAAAAGTGTAATTAAATTCATTATATAACATTACTTAAAATATCTACTATCTAAAATTAAATTCTAAAGTAAATACTAGTAATTTAAACCACATTAGTTCAACTGTTTGAAACCCCTGCTGTAAACTGAGTGAGAGTCTCCCTCTACTGGTACGGATGCTGCATTACAACACTACAACACTGAAGCGACAGTGTGGAGATCTTAAAGACAAGCACTTGCTCTTGACTCCATTCTTAATTCATCTGTATGATCTGGGATCAGTTCGGTGCTGTGTAACGTGAGTTTAGATTCACAACAGCACTAATCCACCATTAGCTGAGCACATCTTTTCCATCTGTTGTGATCTGTTTTCTGTGTGTACCTAACCAGTCATTTTTGTTAGGACATCCGAAAAAATATATATAGTTTGATTAGTTATGATCAATCTCATCCACACACTGTGTTTCATCTGTGTGTATTCAGGATGTGGAGGCAAACACTGTCCGTCTGAAGGAACATGAGGAGGATGTGTTAGTTTTGGAGAGGAGTAACAACAGGAGCTCCAGTTCTTCTCCTCTCAAGTACATTTATCTTCCTCTGTCAATGTTAACATTAGGAATTTAAGACTACTGTGGAAAAACTATAATCTGTTATATATCAACAACCTCAAACCGTGACCTTTGACCTGTTCTTCAGGTACACTGTGATGTCAGGAACTCCAGAGAAGATTCTGGAACATCTTCTGGAGACAGTGAAACCTGACTCCCGATTCACAGAGCCAGGTACTTTACAATGCATTCAGAGAAATAAACACAGTTACACAGGGAAACTGTAACTAATACGCCACTGTAGGCACGTTTGACAAACCCACGGGCGGTTTTATTTCATCAAAGTTAAACCAAAGGCAAAATAAACAGTGACTTGACTTGCAGCACAACCGTTTTCAAGAAATGTTTCTTGAGCAGCAAATCATCATATTAGGGTGATTTCTGAAGGATCATGTGACACTGAAGACTGGAGTAATGAGGCTGAAAATTCAGCTTTGATCACAGGAATAAATTACATTTTATATATTCACATAGAAAACAGTTATTGTTTTCAGTTATCAAACCATTACTGTTTTACTGTATTTTTTTAATAAGAGTGTTTAAAAGCATTTGAAAAATCTTACCGACCCTGAACTTTTGAACATTAGGAAGGTGTGGATATTGTCCTTGTGTACAGCCTTTATAAAACTCACTTCACTTATTTTTAATCGTTTACTTTCAATTAACTTTCAATTCAAACTGGTCTGAATGATTTTTTACTGAATCAATGATCAAAAAAGATGTTTAAAAATCTTTCTCTAGTAATCACAAATGACTGGAAAAGTGGAAATGCCATGAAAAACAAGAGTGTGAAGCCTGTTAACATACATTTACTGTACATGCACTGTGAAGAAACCAATCATTAAAGGCAGGGTAGGTAAGTTTGAGAAACTAGCAGAAAACTGCTGGATTTTGAAAGTATCCAACAGAGAAACTCCCATCCCCTCCCTTCTGGGATCCTTCCAAAGCCACGCCCCCAAAACACATGAACGCGTGAGATGCCGACCGCTCAGCCGGAGGACGCGTTTACCAGCGCCGAGCGGAGAGGAGCGCAGTGCATGGAGTGACATCACCTTTTTTTGCCTTGTTTGCCTGCGCTGTCTGTATATGCAGGTACAGGTGGTACTGGGAATTTTGACTGCTCTTTCTCTGCCATAATTGTGAGACTTCCTAGCTTCCGGCCGGTACGTGCCTCTCCTCTTTCGAAATGAGCGAGTCAACCGGGCGCGCGCATATGGGCGGCTCCTGTAGCAGCAGGGCTGGTAGCCATGGTAGCGAGGTAGAGTGACAGGGGTGGTAGCCATGGTAGCGAGGTAGAGTGACAGGGGTGGTAGCCATGGTAGCGAGGTAAAGTGACAGGGGTGGTAGCCATGGTAGCCATGGTAGCGAGGGAGAGTGACAGGGGTGGTAGCCATGGTAGCCATGGTAGCGAGGGAGAGTGACAGGGGTGGTAGCCATGGTAGCGAGGTAAAGTGACAGGGGTGGTAGCCATGGTAGCGAGGGAGAGTGACAGGGCTGGTAGCCATGGTAGCGAGGGAGAGTGACAGGCGTGGTAGCCATGGTAGCGAGGTAGAGTGACAGGGGTGGTAGCCATGGTAGCGAGGGAGAGTGACAGGGGTGGTAGCCATGGTAGCCATGGTAGCGAGGGAGAGTGACAGTCGCCCCAGCCAATCATTGCATTCGTTCCGAATGGAAAGAGTAGCTGTGTTTATTGCAGCTCTGAGAGGACTACAGACACTCGATTTTTATACTCTACTTTTCAGAGTACTTACATTTTAGATATGTATTGGTATATAAAGAGTTTAAACAAATTGGGGAAAAGTTGTTTTAGAAACAAACTGCCTACCCTGCCTTTAACCAGAATTAGCTATTAACATTGCTGCTTCATTGCCGCTTCCCTTGAGTGCACCTAACTAACTTCTTTCTTTCTCCATCTCTGTAGACCCTGCTCTGGATGACTTCTTGCTTATGCACTGTGTTTTTGTCCCGAACGGTCAGCTGTGTCCGCTGCTCGTGGCCCAATATCCTTCACAGCTGTACTGGCTGAAATGAGTCACTGTAGATGTGTAATAAAAGCAGTGCATCAGCTGGGTTAAACTGTACTTTATGAATATTGTTTTATTTTGATTGCGCTTGTGTGCGAGTCAAGTCCTTAGCGCTTCTGCACCTATCATGCGGAGGCGTCCCAGGGCAGTGAACAGGAGCGCATGGATTACACGCTCAATAACAAGCGCAGGGTGATTCGTCTGGTGTTACAGTGGGCCGCCATCAACACGGACCATCTGCAGGAGGAGGACAGCTCCTACAACTTCCTCCAGGTCAGCAGCTTCCCTCCACTCTCTCTGTTCAGCCATGCCGGTTCACGTGAGACTTTCTGGTCCTGCTGTGATAAAGGGCCCTTTAAGGGCACAAGTGCACTTAGAATCCACTTTTGCTAGTTTAACGACGGGGAAAATGGTCAGCGCACCCGGCGCACGGTCTAAAAGTGTTGTCTCTATTCTCTTAATGAGTGATGGGTGTGTTTTGGGCGTAACGTGCAATAAACCAATCAGAGTCTCATCTCGCATTCCCTTTAAAGGCTTAGTTCACCCAAAAATGAAAATTCTGTCATTAATGACTCTCCCTCTTGTCGTCCCAAGCCCGTAAGACCTCCGTTCATCTTCAGAACACAGTTTAAGATATTTTAGATTTATTCTTTTAGCTTTCTGTCCCTCCATTGGAAATGTATGTACGGTATACTGTCCTTGTCCAGAGAGGAAATAAAGACATCATCAAAGTAGTCCATGTGACATCAGTGGGTTAGTTAGAATGTTTTGAAGCATCGAAAATACATTTGGGTCCAAAAATAACAAAAACTAGGACTTTATTCAGCATTGTATTGTCTTCCGGTTCTGTTGTGGATCCGCGTTCAGTGCCGCCGCTGACGTAAGACGCTGCTGACGTGTGTCTGGTGTGTGTGTGTGTGTGTGTGTGTGTGTGTGTGTGTTCCGGTTCTGTTGTGGATCCGCGTTCAGTGCCGCTGCTGACGTAAGACGCTGCTGACGTGTGTCTGGTGCGTCCGTGTATTCGGGTTCAAATAAATATGGCTGGGCAAAAAAATGCAAGTCTTCCTCTGTGTGGAAATCCTTAGACATGTTTGTGAAGATTGTTTTGTTTCCAGCGTGCGTCTCCCTCAGACTGTAAACGAAGCTCGGGCGCACCAGAGACACGTCAGCAGCGTCTTACGTCAGCGGCGGCACTGAACGCGGATCCACAACAGAACCAGAACACACACACACACACACACACACACACACCAGAGACACGTCAGCAGCGTCTTACGTCAGCAGCGGCACTGAACGCGGATCCACAACAGAACCAGAATACACACACACACACACACACACCAGACACACGTCAGCAGCGTCTTACGTCAGCGGCGGCACTGAACGCGGATCCACAACAGAACCAGAATACACACACACACACACACACACACACACACACCAGACACACGTCAGCAGCGTCTTACGTCAGCGGCGTCACTGAACGCGGATCCACAACAGAACCGGAAGACACCTCGCTCTCAGACCAGCAGCCCATGGGCGCACAAATGGGTGCAAATGCATTTAAACAACGTGGCACAGGACGTGAAAATGATAACTGCGTCTGGCTGAAACTAGCTAAAAACACTTGTGTCGCGCCTGGTGTGTGCCCTCAGTGTGTGTTTCATTGCCATTGTCTGTTGCAGGAGTTCTATGAGACCGTGTGTGAAGATTCCCGACTCATTCCAGCTCTCAAAGATCAACTGCCTGAACTAGAGAAGATCATAAAGCAAAAGTAAGAGCAGAGTCTTACATATGAGAGGTTTTTAACCCTGTAAAGCCTGACATATAAAATAATTGTCAGAAAATTTTATTTTTTGAAATGGTAGGATTCATTTAACCTTTAGTGGAAAAAAAAACAACCTTTTGAAACAAATTCAATAAAAAAGTTTGCATAAGTATTTTTTGTTGAGTGTCATATTTGATAAATCAGGCTTTTATGGCTCATATAGTTTGATATATTGAGAATATGGAGCTCATTCTTGAAGAGAAAAAAATGCCTCGAGACACAAACTGAGCAAAAATATCCAATTTGGTGCAGTTGCTGATATTTATATGACCAAAAAGTAAGATAAAATATTGATGCTTGTAATAAATCATTGAGATATTTATAGCAGTATAACAGACTACTTATATAAAAATGCATATAAATATTAGTCCTTACTTTATATCTGCCAATACTATGTCTTAGTAAGATAATATTAAAAAGCTTAGTTTTTTTATCAAAGCTCTGCAAAACAATGATGAGTGAGAGATAAACAAATAAACCTTCCTCAAAAGCCTGATCGTTTGCTGCTTCAGTCCTGTAAATGTTCATCTTGATGTATTACTAACAATTGAAAAGTTATTCTTACGTTAAAGATGTCACATTAAAAAGACGCGTGAACCACGACCTGAAGGTGGACTTGTTACAATTATAAATGCATTTAACTTCCTGAAATAAAAGTATGAACTACAGTATACAAAGTACAGTGCGCTTCATAAGGATAACATAACAGATTTAGTTCGCAGAAACCTTTTATTTGCTCATAACACTCATAACTTTTATTCGCAGCTCCGAAGATGGCCGGCCCTCTCAGAAAAAGGTGAGGGGAAAATCAAAACAAACACAGTTTCTGTAGTATTTCCTTCAGTGCTGAAGAAGGGTCATGTGACAGTCGTCTCTCATTGCAGCACAAAGTCCTTCTGCGTCAGTTCAGCCCCGGGAACGACACACTGCAGAAGAGACAGCCGATCAAAAGCACAGACGAGAGTGAGTCCGGTTCAAATGTTGCATCAGTACATGAGAATGAATAAAGACATGTTCACACCAAGAACAATGACTATAGCGATATATTAGTGTTCACACCAATGCACACTATCGTTGGGTTTATTTTAAGCGAGCGCTGCAGTTTTATCGTCTGTCGCTTTAAATGCTCGAGCTCATTAAAGCAGGATGGATTCTGATTGGCTGTCAATGTTTTTATCATTCATCGGCTGGGAATTTTTTTTTTTAAAGTGATTCAAACTAGATTGTTCCTCTGTGCCGTTATCGTTATAGTTGTGGTGTGAACTCTGCTATTCTTTTATATTTAGATTGATTTTTAGAACTATATCGTCAGAATATTAGTTATCATCCTTGGTGTGAAAGGGTCTTAAGAGTGTGTAAGATATATTATATAATATGAAGAGACTTTAAGGGATAGTTCACTTTGAAATTAATTTTTGGTATGTTTTAGCTTACCTCAAGGGCATCCAAGATGTAGGTGTCTTTGTTTCCGCAGTAGTTTCAATTTTGATATTTTTAGGTCAAACCGTTCTTGTCTGTCAGTCATATAATGCAGGTCTATGGTCACCACTAGAGAGCTGCATTGGGATTGAGTCCCGCCGGGTCCCGCGGGACCCAACGCAAATCTCGCGGGAGCGGGCGGTTTTAACTTTGCTGCGGGCGGGAATGGGCGGTTAAAAAAAAAACTGCGGGATCGGGAGATAGCCTAGCGACATGATGGAGATGTCAATGATGTGGAAGAGAACCTCAAACGAGGTATTTACAGCACAAAACCTAAGCAAGGCAAGTCTGACATTTGGACTACTATTCATCTTCCTGATCAGTGCGTCAGAATACATGCAGGCCAGGGAAACGAATCAAACAACCCCATGAATCTCTTTAATAACAGCAATACAAATACGCGTTTTTTCCTGCGGGACGGGAGAAGACACAAAGTCAGTGCATCTCTATTATTGTGCGGGAATAAATTCTCAGAGTTTTGCGGGTGCGGGCGGGAGTGGACATGCATATTGCGGGAGCGGGCGGGAGTGTAACACATACGTCGCGGGAGCGGGCCGTAATGGTCAGAAATTTGGCGGGCGCGGGCAGGAGCGGGATGAAGAAAACAGTCCCGCGCAGGACTCTAGTCACCACCTCAAAGAGCATGCACAGAGAAGTCCAAATTAAACATGATTTAATGACTCGTAAATGTAAGTACACATTGATGGCCTAAGACACGAAACGAGCGGTTTGTGTGAGAAAACGAACAGTATTTATATCGTTTTTACCTCTTGTAAACACAGCCACGTCCAAGTGATCTGAGGGCGCGGGCGCGGGCGCTTCGGTCTGTGCAAGCGCCGGAAGTGATCTCTCGCGCGTGTACGTCACTCATTGTTTACACAGAGATTTCGTAAGGGTTACTTTTCACTGTGAAGATCTAAACATATTTAGATATACAGGAAATCGCAATGGAAGACGATTTCGATATATCAACAGACAAGTTCAACGTTGAATTTTTTTTGTTTTTTTTGAAGAGATCACTTCCGGCGCTTTCCGGCGCTTGCGCAGACCGAAGCGCCCGCGCCCTCAGATCGCTTGGACGTGGCTGTGGTTACAAGAGGTAAAAACGATATAAATACTGTTAGTTTTCTCACACAAACCGCTCGTTTCGTGTCTTAGGCCATCAATGTGTACTTACATTTACGAGTCATTAAATCATGTTTAATTTGGACTTCTCTGTGTATGCTCTTTGAGGTGGTGACCATAGACCTGCATTATATGACTGACAGACAAGAACGGTTTGACCTAAAAATATCAAAATTGAAAATACTGTGGAAACAAAGACACCTACATCCCGGATGCCCTTGAGGTAAGCTAAAACATACCAAAAATTAATTTCAAAGTGAACTATCCCTTTAAGTACCATCAAGAGTATGACACATATGAAATCCTTTAGTTAATTTCACAGATGTTAAGTATATAGAGATCATAGGGGTTTAGCTTACCTAAAATGTATTTATTTATTCAATCATTCATTAATTTAGAGGGAGATCAGAAAAGATAGAGAGAGATCAGTCATAGAACAGAAGAGTCAAAAGTGAAATAATAAGTGATAAGTGAACAAATGTTGTTCCAAAAACATGTATCTTTAATTAAAAGCTATTTTATTATTTAAAAATGTATATTCACCAGTGTTTTAAAAGCTGTGTTGTTGGTGTAGTTCTCTTCAAGGTTTACTGCAGTGATCACACCTACTCCACTATCAGAGTGTCTGTCGCTGCGTCTGTCAGAGAGGTCGTCTCCGCGGTTACCGACAAACTGGGGTCAGGAGATGATCTTCTGCTCATCCACCTCAACTCCGCCGGAGGTGAACACACACACACATACACTCACTGACTAACCATTTTTTCCATGCTTATCGCTGTATTGACAGCCATTTCCTCTATTTTCATTTGTGTTTGATTAATTGCAGGTTTATTAATACCATGTTTGCAGAGTGTGCGGTTGCACTGACTCTTATCTTTTTGACCTCTGGCTGACAATATGAGCTCTTTGCTGCACCCATCTTGCTGTAGCATTTCAGCTGCGTGTGTGTGTGGGTGTGTTTGGTTGTGAGACAGATGTTTCTTTCTCACTGCCAGATCTGTCTGATACACCGTGACCTAGTGCTGGCCTTCTGCGGACACACACCGTAGCAAGTATTCGGACACTCAAGCCATACTGATAGTGTCACCGCATTAGATGAAATATAGCAAGGAAGGGGCATTCTGTTTTAAAAACAGATAGGACACATTTTAACAATTCATTTAAGTCCACTTAAAAGAAATTATTTACAGGGACATAAATACTATAGATGCAGTCAAATACATGTACAAAATCATGGCCCAGCATTGTTTCTGACCAGTTTCTGATGAGTCTCGATTTCTGTTGAGACATTCAGATGGTAGAGTCAGAATTTGGCGTAAACAGAACGAGAACATGGATCCATCATGCCTTGTTACCACTGTGCAGGCTGGTGGTGGTGGTGTAATGGTGTGGGGGATGTTTTCTTGGCACACTTTAGGCCCTTAGTGCCGATTGGGCATCGTTTAAATGCCACGGCCTACCTGAGCATTGTTTCTGACCATGTCCATCCCTTGATGGCCACCATGTACCCATCCTCTGATGGCTACTTCCAGCAGGATAATGCATCATGTCACAAAGCTCGAATCATTTCAAATTGGTTTCTTGAACATGACAATGAGTTCACTGTACTAAAATGGCCCCCACAGTCACCAGATCTCAACCCAATAGAGCATCTTTGGGATGTGGTGGAACGGGAGCTTCGTGCCCTGGATGTGCATCCCACAAATCTCCATCAACTACAATATGCTATTCAATATGGACCAACATTTCTAAAGAATGCTTTCAGCACCTTGTTGAATCAATGCCACGCAGAATTAAGGCAGTTCTGAAGGCGAAATGGGGTCAAACACAGTATTAGTATGGTGTTCCTAATAATCCTTTAGGTGAGTGTATCTTCACAATATTAAGCATGTCACTCAGTTGTTATGGGTAGATGTAGCACCGTTTCCGCCAGATATGGCGGCTGCCTATAATAGCAGACAGAACACAGTTCTTTGCTAGCCGTTTAGCCCTCTTTTTGGGCATCCCAAGTTATTGAAGCCCTCTTACAACCAGCCAGTGTGTGTGTCCTAAGCTGACAAATATGAACACAAGTAATCGGCTCCGATAACCTCACTCTGAGATGGTATTTAATGACCTTAGTCATAAAAGTTTCCTTCATATTAGAGTCAAAGGAACATGCAACCTCCAAAACGAACACCTCACTGATCTCCTCATTAACCACAACAACATCTGGTGTATTAGCAGACAGATGGGAAACGGTTTCAGAGTTATTACAATACTGAAACATGGATGGTTTTACACAAGATTCGAATATGGCCATCTTCGTTTGGACATTTTGTCTTCATGACGTAGATCATACCTGAAACTCACACACTCACACACACACACGTTTACTTAGCTATCTAAATGGGGACATTAGACATAATGGTTTTTATACTGTACAAACTAAACCTACCCATCGCGCATTTCATAAAAAAAAAAAATAGCCATTACATCACATTTTTAAAAACCTTAAATTACAATGTTTTATACCAGATTTACAAATGAGGACATCCCTAACGGGAAGTTTTTGAAGATTTTGTCATGTTTTGGTCACTTCTGGGTACAAATTTGTCCCCAAAATATAGTTAAGTAGGTAAACACACACACAGGAATCCAGGCCATAGCCAGCATGATGTTCCACAGCGGAGTCGCAGGAGGGAGGAGCCGCGGTGGAGACCCAGACTGAGACGAGACACAGATCCAGGGTGACACCTCAGGTCCGGAGGGCCAAGGTGGAGCTGACGGGGAGGGGGAGGTGGGGACCCGGAAGCCCGCAGTGAAGCCGGAGCGACCGAGCACAAGGGCGGAGCCGGAGGGACGGCGATGCATGGTGGAGCCGAAAGGATGGAAGGCGCCGGCGCAGCCAGGAGTCCTTTAGCCGAACTAAGACGACGCCTGACCAAGGCGGAGACGGAGGGACGAGGGAGTCGGTGGAGCTGGTGGGGTGATGGACCAAGGCAGAGCTGAAGAGTCAGAGGGCTGAGGTGGACTCGGTGACAGGGACAGGGAATCTCATGCCAAGATGGACCTGGGGACGAAGGAAACATCTATATTGCTTAAAAAAGCGATCAGATAAAGGCATCTCAGGAGACCGGATACGACATGACCATTGAATTCGGGTGTGGCTTGGACATAGCTGGCTTCGGATACAGCGTTTTTAAGCTTTCTGATGCAGCCTTTGTGTTTGTGAAGTATGGTGCATCCTAGTCATGTCGGTAAGATCGTATTTAAGAGTTGGACACACATGAACACCACCACAAAGTACTAAATTCGAGTGGGAAGGTCGAGATTTTCTTTAATCCCAGAGTTTACGAGTTTGCGGCGTGTCCGAGAGACATATAACAATGTAACATGTACAGCGTCTTTATAAATGAATTAAAAACATAAAAAAAGCAAAACACACTGATATATTCTTTGCTCTTCATTTTCTAGAAACCTTGCTGTATTTTGTGTAGTTAAATAAGAGAAGATACACCGCCATCTTTGTTAAAGTGTTAAAGTGGTTCCTCTGCTAGGACACCTGTGTGAACTTGAGGAAAACTGACTTCATACATCAAACACGAAAAACTAGATTTGTTCATTTTCAGATGAAAATGTGAGTGGTGCAAAACACTGTTGTTAAGTTTCCTAAACTTTTGGAATGTAAATATTGCAAAAATGTTTCACTTATCTTTTTTTTCTTAATTAAGTATAACTTCACTGTTTAGTCATTTGAGAAGCAGCTGATAACTGACATCTGTGCTTCCACATTCCTGAAAAGCACCAACTTAAACAGTCGATTCCTCCGTGACACTGACTGATGACTGTGTGTGTTTGTGTTTTTCAGATAAAGAGCTTCTAAAGCCATCTGACGTGTCCATCTTCTCAACTCTGAGTATTAATGGCCGTTTGTTTGTCTGCTCGAGGGACCAGATCGACACTTTGGTGTGTGAGAGCTCCTGGAGACTGCATTTAATACACACATCTGCTGTAAACACGCATGCATGAACGTATTGATTGGCTGATGAACTGATCATTGGATTGACTGTTTGTGCAGACTCCACTGCCGGAGCAGGAGGGCCCGTCCGCAGGGTCCATGTCCACGTTTGAGCTCATGAGCTCTAAAGATCTGGCTCATCACATGACTCTCTATGACTGGGAGCTCTTCGACTGTGTACATGAGGTACATACACTGTTTTCACATTCCTCTCACTTAACCCTCTGGGGTTCCTCATTTTAGACTCACACTCAGGACCTTCGGGTCAAAAATGACCCGGAGGGCGGCATTAAGATACATTTTATTTGAGTAAAATCAATGAAATATATTTTTGTTCAATAATATTTTTTCTTTTCTTTTTTGGTGTTTTGAGATAATTTTATAATTTATAATTAATATTTATGCAATAATTAAGACCCATTTTTTCCCATTGAATATAATAGAAAATGTATATATATATATAATTAAAACATTTTTTTTATTAAAGCTGTATTTCATTTTAGAGTCAAGTCTAGACCTCATGAAAGCAATTTTTGAAATGAGATCGGAGCCATCTGGTGGACACACTGAGCATTTTTATCACGCAATAGCACATTTTTACCACTAGTGGATTTACAGCTCTCTGTAGAAACCTATTGTAGAAACACTCTAGTGATTTTTTCACATATTGTTTAATTTTTTCAGGTTTTTGATTCGAATATATAATAACAGATTCTCAAAGACTATATTTGTCATTTTTTTTAATAAAAAAAAAAAAATTTTTTGGTTGGTTTAAATTGTAATTTTAAGTGGCAGTTTTACTTTATAATACAGTCAAACCTGAACATTGCATTATAAAGAGAACAAATGGAAAACATTTTGTCACCCATTGTTTTAAGAGATTCACCCCTTCACTGTTGTGTGCTTTTTTTCTGCATCCTGGCTGTTTGGTAGATTGTATGCACAAAAAAACTCTGTATTTTCACATTTTTGCCAATTTCCCATTCATTTCCTATGGGGGTCATTTTTGACCCGAAGACCCTGAGTGTGACTATTTTTTTTACGACCACTTAGACTTTTAAAATCCTTTCCCCAATTTTTTTGGGTGTTCATATACCAAGTACCAAAAAAGTCACCAAGTTTTGGACCATTCCGATGAAGCTACGATTTTTAACATTTTTTTATTTAAACGCTTCGGGTCATTTTTGACCCGAAGAACCCCAGAGGGAACCAGTTCACCCAAAAATGAGAATTCTTTCATCATTTTCTCACCCTCATGTTGGTCCAAACCCACGAGACTTGCGTTTATCTCCGAAACACAAATGAAGATATTTTTAATGAAACCTGAGAGATTTCTGTCCCTCCATTGCAAGTCCACCAAAAGTCTGATGCTTTAAAAAGTTAATAAAGTAGTAATCTGTATGAATCTGCTGACATGAACAGACATGATCGCTTTAAATGATAAACAGATTTAATGTAGGCTTTCATTCACAGTTAAACATTAATCAATGCACATACATACACAAAAGATAATAGTATTATATTAATAAGTAAAAGTCTACTTAAGTGTACTTAAAGAGTAGACATTTTAATGACTGTTTCTTAACACACTTTTAAAAAATGCACTTTGCAACCGTGTCAAATTACCACTTGTAATAATGTCAAATTAATAATGTGTAAATAAGTTTTTCTTGGTAACACTTTTATGTACAGTGTCCTTGTTACATATGTTACATGTACTTACCATAGTAATAACATTAATTATGCATAATTACATGCAACTAACCCTCAACCAAACCCTAACCCTATAGCAAGTACATGTAGTTAATTAATATTACTCAGTACTTAAATATATAAATACACTGTAACAATAATGCCTTAAAATAAAGTGTAACTGTATTTTTGAATCATGATAATTAATATCTAATTGCAGCTTCACTGTGTTATTGCAAACATATTTAAATACATAACTTACATTTTTCAATAGAAATTACATTAAGGTATATTTTAGTTTATCATAATTGCTTGTCAGTACATTTAGCAGTAAACTTTAACCATATTTCAAAGACAATAGAGGTACAGTAATTATGATATTACATATAAATGTGCACTTAAATCCCCCTGTAGTCAATAATTGTATCCCTTAAAACTCATATTTGATCACCAAAATATATTTTACATATTTTAATACATATTTTAATGTTTTTTCCTTGAAAGAAAATCTTCATGCCTTAAATATCTTGAATGTAACTCTACACCCTTGCCTCATTTAGTATACGCGGTTCTATGAATATGCAAATAAGCCCCGCCTCCACTCACTCACTCACTCACTCAGAGATCCACTGGTTGACGATCACACGTTGATCTGATTGGTTACAAGGTAGTGTGTGACGTCAGAAACACCAGCGATTTCAAACCGTGTTTTTGAGACTGTCTTTGGTTCACTGCAGTTTTAAGGAGAAAATACTCAGCAATGCTGTCGACTTATGAACTTACACATGGTTTGTCTTAAAGCACATTAAAAACACCACATAGACATATAAACAACATTGAAAGCTTGATTTTCACCACAGGGGGGCTTTAACTACTCTTTTCAAAAGAAGGTCACACTTTATTTTAAGGTGTGTCCTTGTTACAGTGTAATTATACGTTTACTGTAAGTACTGAGTAATATTAGTTAACTGATTAGGGTTTGGTTCAGGCTTAGTTGCATGTAATTATGCATAATATATAGTTATTACTATAGTAACTACATGTAACGTGTAACAATCACACTGTAAAATAAAGTGTGACCTACATTTATTAACCACCAGGTCTAAACTAGTAGTCCATTTTAGTAAATCTGTATGCATTTGTGCTTTAGCATGAGCTGATCTACCACACGTTTGGCCGTCCGCATTTCAAGAAGACGACGGCGAACCTGGATCTGTTCCTGCGGAGGTTTAATGAGGTGCAGCTCTGGGTGGTCACTGAGGTTTGCTTGTGTCCCACGCTCAGCAAACGCGTACAACTGCTCAAGAAGTTCATCAAGATCGCAGCACAGTGAGTCTCCGAGGTCTTTACTCACATGTGACCTTAATGTGTGTGATCAATCATTTTATTCTATTTAATGTAATGTATTCGGACAATTAATTGCAATGTTAAAAGTTAAAATTGACATATAATGACATATAACCCTAACCCGCTTAAGTATAGGACATACATCTTGTAATTTCATAATTGAAATTCAATTCAAATTCAAATGTACTGATACGTGTTTATGGTAAACTAAAATAAACTAACATACAATTTCTATTGAAACTTGTGTCATGTATTTAAATATTGAAAATAAGTGTACTTAAAGATTATCAAAACAATCATTTAAATTGTACTTTAAAGTAAAACTTAATAATTTGACAAGATTATAGATTATTACAAAGGGCACCTTTTAAAAGTCTACTTAAGTGTGTTAAGAAACAGTCGTGAAAGTGTACCTCAAGTACACTTAAGTGGACTTTTATTTCAATGATATTATATTTTCTTTTTTTTTAAATATAGTTTTTAGTTGTGTGTCACAGTAGAGAGTGTGTGATGTGTATTAACCCTGAAAACGCATACCTCGGGTCTTTATCGACCCGGGACGTCATTATGGAAGCTTGTTTCCAACACAGAATAAAAAAATGTAAAAGATTATTGCGACTTTTTATCACACAATTGCGAGTTTTACATCTTTATTTATGAGAATTGCGAGTTATAAAGTCAGAATTGCGAGATATAAAGTCACAATTCTGACTTTTTTTCCTTACTATTGCGAGTTTACATCTCACAATTCTGACATCTTTTCTCAGAATTGAGTCGCAATTGTGTGTTATAAAGTCAGAATTGTGAGATATAAACATGCAATTCTGAGAAAAAAAGTCAGATTTGCGAATTCATTTCTCGCAATTACAAGTTTATATCTCACAATTCTGACTTTATAACACACGATTGCTACTTTATATCATACAATACTGACTTTATAACACACGATTGCTACTTTATATCTCACAATTCTGACTTTATAACACACGATTGCTACTTTATATCTCACAATTCTGACTTTATAACATGCAATTGCTACTTTATATCTCACAATTCTGACTTTATAACACACGATTGTGACTCTAAATCACAATTCTGAGATAAAAAGTCAGAATTTTGAGATAAAAAGTCAGAATTTTGAGATAAAAAGTCAGAATTCTGAGATAAAAAGTCAGAATTCTGAGATAAAAAGTCAGAATTCTGAGATAAAAGTCAGAATTATGAAATAAAAAGTCAGAATTATGAGATTCATGCAGAATTATGAGATAAAAAGTCAGAATTATGAGATAAAAAGTCATAGTTTTGAGATAAAAAGTCAGAATTCTGAGATAAAAAGTCAGAATTATGAGATAAAAAGTCATAGTTTTGAGATAAAAAGTCAGAATTATGAGATAAAAAGTCAGAATTATGAGATAAAAGTCAGAATTATGAAATAAAAAGTCAGAATTATGAAATAAAAAGTCAGAATTATGAGATTCATGCAGAATTATGAGATAAAAAGTCAGAATTATGAGGTAAATGTCAGAATTATGAGATAAGAATTACCTCTTTTTTTAATTCTGTGGCAAAAACAAACTTCTATGTCCCGCTGAATGTAATAGTGTACGTTTTTTTTCTGTGCGACAAAAATCTGATCTCTAATGACTTCGTTGAGATGGCGAATACGAGCCGGATGCTGAATGTACTGGGAAATGAGCTCCGGCGAGGACGGCGATGATGGCAAAAAGCATCCGCTCAAATTGAACCATTCCAAGTTCCAAAAATGTAGCAAAATATCTATATAATTCTTTTTTTATAATTCTATTGTAATTCTTATTCAAATATCAGGAAAGTTTTATACTATTGTGACAGTTAGAGATCCGTGTCGCTCTGAATATGTGATAATGATAAGCATTAAAGCATCATGCATGTAAGGGTTAATCAGTACAGATGCTGTGGTGTTTAGACTGCACTTTTCTAAATTCTGTGTGTTTGCTCTTTTTAAGCTGTAAAGAGTTTAAGAATCTGAACTCCTTCTTTGCCATTATCATGGGCCTAGGAAACCCTGCAGTCTGTCGACTCAGTCAGACATGGGAGGTTAGCATTCACCACACACACATAACAGACACGTTACGAACGGCATGTTTAACACTGATTCAGCTCTCACCGAATAAGAGTTTTCTCTCTCACAGAAACTGCCCAGCAAGTTCAAGAAGTTCTATGGAGAGTTTGAGAACCTGATGGTGAGTTCAACATGGCAGCCTCTGGTAAGCTAAGCATTTAACCCAATATTAAAGATACTTAAAGAGTGCGTTGTTTTTCTCACTGCAGGATCCCTCCAGAAATCACCGAGCATATCGACTGACAATGGCCAAGTTAGAGCCACCGATCATCCCTTTCATGCCTTTGTTAATTAAAGGTGAACTTTACACTGGAATCACAAACACCAACAAAATGTGTGACACATCTACAGTACATGCTCTTTAGTGGCTTTTTCAACACTTTTGAATACTAGTAAAGTCAGCTCAGCTATGAAAAATGAAATAGACTATGGAATGAAAGAATGGGAACTCTATATTTTAAATGTAATATATTTGTTTACATTTCTTTTAAAATTAATTATTAAAGCATGTAACACATAATCTTATGATTTACTTGATTTAGTGGCATTTTCCACATTTCTAATTAATCCATTAATACATTAATTCATATATATAAATTTAGTCCTAATTAAATTTTTTCTAAATTGAAATAATTGATTTTTAGATAATTCAATTTTTTTTATAATTGATCTAAACTGGTTTTAATATTATATGGTTAAATGGTCAAATCATTGTAAATATTTTTAGATAATTTAATTTAAAACATTTCACTCATCTATTTGCAAGGTTTATTTGAATTATTATTCCAATAAATATTTATAAATTCAGATATATAATTAAACATTATATATAATAAATCTTACATTTACCTCACATATATCATTTAATTTAAGACAATAATAATTATTATAAGAATAATTATTATTTTGATTTAAAAAATGTATTATTTGTTATTATTAAAAATCATTCTTAATCAATGAAAAGGCTATAAATGTGTTCAGACATTAACTTCGCACTCCTGCACTTCTTCCATGCTGTACATTTGTATATATATATATACACTCACCTAAAGGATTATTAGGAACACCATACTAATACTGTGTTTGACCCCCTTTCGCCTTCAGAACTGACTTAATTCTACGTGGCATTGATTCAACAAGATGCTGAAAGCATTCTTTAGAAATGTTGGCCCATATTGATAGGATAGCATCTTGCAGTTGATGGAGATTTGTGGGATGCACATCCAGGGCACGAAGCTCCCGTTCCACCACATCCCAAAGATGCTCTATTGGGTTGAGATCTGGTGACTGTGGGGGCCATTTTAGTACAGTGAACTCATTGTCATGTTCAAGAAACCAATTTGAAATGATTCGAGCTTTGTGACATGGTGCATTATCCTGCTGGAAGTAGCCATCAGAGGATGGGTACATGGTGGCCATAAAGGGATGGACATGGTCAGAAACAATGCTCAGGTAGGCCGTGGCATTTAAACGATGCCCAATTGGCACTAAGGGGCCTAAAGTGTGCCAAGAAAACATCCCCCACACCATTACACCACCACCACCAGCCTGCACAGTGGTAACAAGGCATGATGGATCCATGTTCTCATTCTGTTTACGCCAAATTCTGACTCTACCATCTGAATGTCTCAACAGAAGTCGAGACTCATCAGACCAGGCAACATTTTTCCAGTCTTCAACTGTCCAATTTTGGTGAGCTCTTGTAAACTGTAGCCTCTTTTTCCTATTTGTAGTGGAGATGAGTGGTACCCGGTGGAGTCTTCTGCTGTTGTAGCCCATCCGCCTCAAGGTTGTGCGTGTTGTGGCTTCACAAATGCTTTGCTGCATACCTCGGTTGTAACGAGTGGTTATTTCAGTCAAAGTTGCTCTTCTATCAGCTTGAATCAGTCGGCCCATTCTCCTCTGACCTCTGGCATCAACAAGGCATTTTCGCCCACAGGACTGCCGCATACTGGATGTTGTTCCCTGTTCACACCATTCTTTGTAAACCCTAGAAATGGTTGTGCGTGAAAATCCCAGTAACTGAGCAGATTGTGAAATACTCAGACCGGCCCGTCTGCCACCAACAACCATGCCACGCTCAAAATTGCTTAAATCACCTTTCTTTCCCATTCTGACATTCAGTTTGGAGTTCAGGAGATTGTCTTGACCAGGACCACACCCCTAAATGCATTGAAGCAACTGCCATGTGATTGGTTGATTAGATAATTGCATTAATGAGAAATTGAACAGGTGTTCCTAATAATCCTTTAGGTGAGTGTATATATATATTTATACATAATTCATGCAGTACAAAGCAATGAGAGCCTACAGTAACTGCAATATTTCAATGAAATCCACAAAACAAACAACAGAATGTTTCGAAGAACTGTATAGTAAAAGATGCAGATTTGATCAGTGTGTAAAATGTCGAACATCTGCGCTTTTGCTCTTTCAGATATGACTTTCACGCACGAGGGCAACAAGACATTTACCGACAGATTGGTCAACTTCGAGAAGATGGTGAGTCTCGCACAGGAATCTACCTCTCCATCTCCGAGACGTTTTAAATGAGATGCCATGAATGTGTCTGTGTGTGTTTTCCAGAGAATGATTGCTAACACAGTCCGAATCATGAGATACTGCCGAAGTCAGCCATTCAGTAAGACACCAGTGTGCACTTCATATCAGAACCATGTTTCAGTCCAGCTGATTCTGAGGCATTTCTCTCTCTCTCTCTTTGGTATCTATAGATCCAGAAGCGCCACAGGTGACGGGTAAAAGCCATCAGGATGTGCGTGGCTATGTGCGTCACATTGGTGTGATTGACAACCAGCGCACGCTATCCCAGCTGTCCCACCGGATCGAGCCGCGCCGGTCCTGATGCTTCAGTGCTGCTTTCCCTCTGCCAGTGAATAAGCTATAGCTGTATATGAGCGTATATCCGGTCAAACACGTCTCGGCTCAAGGGCTTTCCGTTCTCTGGCTGGTGGTGTGGAAGCGTGGCTTGGTTTCAGTGTGCAGGGGGTTTGGACCTCGGTTATATTCTGCCACAGATCAGATGTTGCCTCTTATTTTCAGATTGTGTTTGACACATGGTGTTTTAGAGTTCGGAATCGATTGAAAATGACGTTTCTTCCAAAGCGTATGTTTTTTGAGACTTTTTTTATGCTTTGAATGAGATTCTGGGCATGTTGAGTGAGTTTAGGTTGGTCTTACACTACCATTCAAAAATTGGAGGTAAGTAAGTTTTTTTTTGTGTGTGTTTTAGAAATGAATGTTGATTCAGGAAGGATGCATTAAATTGATCAAAGTGACAGTAAATACAGTAAAGAATTTTTTTTTTTAAATAAATGTTGTTTTGAACTTTACATTCATCAAAGAATCCTGAAGAAAATCCTTCATGGTTTTCTCAGAAATGTGAAGCAGCACAATAATAATCATACATTTTTCTTGTGCAGCAAATCATCATATTAGAGTGATTTCTGAAGGATCATGTGACACTGAAGACTGGAGTAATGATGCTGAAAATTCAGCTTTGATCGCAGGAATAAATTACATATTAAAACATAATCAAATCGAAAACCGTTCTTTTAAATTGCAAAAATATATTACTGTTTTTACTGTATTTTTGGTCCATTAAATGCAGTATTGGTGAGCAGAAGAGACTTCTTTCAAAAACATTAACCCCAAACCTTTGAACGGTAGTGTACATCAATCATTACAAAGCATTTTGAATTAAATTTCTAAAATAGATTTTTTTTTTTTTTATGTTGATTTATGGAAGTTTGGGCCTGGATGTAAAGATATAGATATTTATATGAACTTAAGCATGAAGTTAAACAAAATCTAAATGGTGAATTGAGAACATGTGAGCACATTTCGAAAGCCTATTGGTGGCTTGTCTGCAAATCTTGTACCTTTGTGTGTATTGTGTAAATAAAACTGCCATAAGATGCATATTTACTGACATGTCAAAGTCTTTTTTCATTCAGAATTGTGTATTTTCACAATTATTTTCAATTTGTTTCATTTTTAGCTTACAGCTTAGGAAAGATTTCCTTTAATAAGCAGGTTACAAAAACTGCTGTCACATGCTCAGAATATTAAACTATTATATTATAAAATTATTATTTTTGATTGTGTTCACATTTTCATTTATAATTGATAATTGATTCACATTGATTTTAATTATCATATGTTATAAGTCACTATAATGTTTTAAAAATGTATAAATGCAATTTTACAAGTAATATTATATATATATAATATATATATTGCATATAGTATTCAAATGTATAATTTAAAAACAACAATCGGTAACACTTTATAGTTTAGGGTCTAATGCTAACTATTATCTAGGTACTTACTAGCATGCATATTACTATGATATTGGCTGTTTATTAGTACTTATAAAGCACATATTAATGTCTTATTCTGCATGACCATGTTCTACATCCCTTAACCACGGCCAATACCTAAACTTAACAACTACCTTACAAACTATTGATAAGCAGTAATTAGGATTTTATTGAGGCAAAGTCGTAGTTAATAGTGAGAATTGGACCCTAATCTAAGTGTGACCCAATAATCATGATATCATAACATTTTATTAGATTTTTTTTCTTTCTAAAATATCACATAAGTGTCTGGTTTCACAGACAAGGCTTGAGTCTAGTCCCAGACCATGTTTGAGATGTTTTAACTGATTGTAACTTTTGTTGTTGAATAATTATAAAACGATTTCTGAATACACGCATAGTATAAGTGTAAATAATGAGAAAAACACTGTATTACTTTAATATGTTTCGTGTTTTGTTACATCGTTAAACGATGATCGTGCACTGCTTGATTGAGGACACTGACACGAGCATTTTCACCACATGGCAGCTTTCCTGACTCGTTCACTGGTAAACTGCCATAGCCAGTGGAAGAAAGGATTTGTTCTGCGCATGTACAAAACAAGAGGGAACAAGTACGGACTGTCGTAAAGACAAAACATGTAACTTTTAGAATGCAATACACAACATGTTTGTTTGATGTCCACCCCACCCTTCAAGTAGGCCTACTACGCTGATATCGTTGTTATTGATTCAGCCTTGTGTCAAGTAGCCTAGCTACTCCAGTCGTTTTTCTGAAGTAAACGAACTAGAAATATGACATCCGTCTAAGCGTCTGTTTTCTAGAAATTTCACTAACAAACTGAAAGCAACTTACACTGATATTAAAATATGTCAGTGCCATTGTTTTGTCTCACGATGCATATCAGTTATGGTTTTTTCTAAGGCACGTTTATAAAAGCTACTTAAATTTCCTAACTGAACTAAGGCCTAATCCTGTCTTAATCTAAACCCTGTCTGTGAAACGAGGCTTAAATGTAATTTATGTAATGTAGTAGTCTAAATAGTTCTACAATGGCAGTGTTGTAATGAGGAGTGTGCAGTACCGGTTCTCCTCCGCTGGGTGTCGCTGTTTCTCTCCGCTTTCGTGCGTCACTGATCTTGGCAGAGCTGATCAGGAAGAAGTTGAAGTTGTAACAACACGTGAAATCACCGGATCGGACACTGACTGGAAATATCTGACTGACACTGAGTCACAAGTTGCCGCAAGAACTTCTTGACTGCTGTCCATCTCTCCCGGGAAGACTGACCGCAGAATATAGGAGAGTCAGTGGGTACGTGTGTGTGTGTGTGTGTGTGTGTTTGTTTGTTTGTTTGTGTCTGTTTTTCTCACGATGTTACACTGTAGTAATAATAAGTGATTACTGTGAGATGTGGATCAGTGCTCATGTAACTCATGGATCTGTTGGGATCTGTCTGGACATGTTCCTGGATCATCCACATCACAGACAGGGAATTTTTATGATGAAATTATCACTTATTAATGAGTAATTTGTGCAAAATTGTTCTATCTGCCTTTTAACCTTAAAGTCTGATTAACCAAAGCACGTGTGGTTTTAGTTTAGAGCCAGGTTTATGTACAGTTTTGCTGTTAGCTGTAATAGAAAAACGCATAGGGCACGTTATATGTTTTGCACTAATTATAACATGTATCTTTTACAAAAAGTAGGCCCACCAGAACATTGAAGTCAGGCCTATCAGATATTCATGCTTTTGACATGATGCTTCAGGACTTCAATGGTGTTCTATATGTGCTTACATTGTAATTATAACGTAATAATGCATTTATTACATCATAAATGCTGCCTCATAACTAAAATGATTCTCAGAAAGGGGAGCAGCCCTGTTATCACCTTATATTGTTTCAGTGAACTGACTGAATTTCTATTCATCCGGGGTGAAAGTCATTCTGCTGTCCTCTGCATGCTGCATTGTATGAATACACAGGCCTTCACTGGGTGAATGAGAAAAATCCCAATTATTCTGCTGGTTTTACTTTCTGTTCCAGTGCATGTGCCTGGAAAAGTATGCAGGAATGTTGCTGTGATCCTATTGGTTCATAATTTAATGAGGAAATATTGCACATGCAGAGAGGTTATCCAAATCAGATAATAAATACAGCAATCTCCAAAAGTATTTGGACATTTAATTTATACATAAAAATGATGTCTTTGCATTAGCTACAGAATATCTAGGCAAGTGTAATTTATTTTAAAGGACGATAACACAATCAGACTTGTCAAGGAAAACGTTTCACAAACAGGACATTTTTAGGTTTGAAGTGATACAGCAGTTATGAAACAATGATTATATTGTTGACAATGCAGAGAAATAGTGACTCTTTGTGGTTGTCAGTGTTAGTTGATCATCTGCATTTTTAATGTGATTCTCTACACCTGTGGTTAGGACACACACCTGTGTGAACTTGAGGAGAACTGACTTGATACATCCACTAACAACCACCAAAACACCAGCTGATTAAAATACATTGAGCAAAAACGAGGAAGAAAAGTTAGCGTGAAAAAGAAGTGTAATATAAATGTGCTTTGTACACTTGTAGTAGTACTTCAACTCCAAAGTGTATATTTTAAATAAATAAAAAACTTGCATATAATATAATATTAATGAATTAAAAGGCCATTTAAGTATACTTAAAGAGTGGACACTTTGCATAAGTATGTTTCTTAATGCACTGAAGTTAATCTTAATGTTTTAAGCATCTTTAGTCATGCTTTAAAGAAGTGAAATTATTTTTATGTATTGACTAACATACAAAAGCACATGTAAAGTACTTGATTATGATTTTAACTAGTGTGTTATTCGATTTTATATTTTAAGTTAATATATTTTAAATGCACTAAATTTCAACTTCATCATCATTACAAATGTGTAATTACAAATATATTTAAATACATGACATACAAGTTTGAATAGAATTACATTAAACTATATTCTAGTTGACCATAAATGCTTGTCAGTACATTCAGCAGTACACTTTAACCATATTTCAAAGACAATAGAAGTAATTATGAAATTACACAGAAACAGATGCACTTAAGTCCTACTTAAGAGGGTAAAAAAACACACTCTGTTAAGTCCAGATGATTGCATTAAATAAATATACATCATTGCATTTAATATAATCTATAATACATTTTCATTTAATTGCAATTATGCAATCAAGTGTACAAAAACATTGCATTCATTTTGCACTTAAAAGTATATTCTTTATAAGGATGTTATTTCTTTAATAAGTCCTCTTTCTAAAAGTATGCTAAAGTCTACATCTTTTTAAAGCTCATGCAGCATTTGATGATGGTTCCTTTGATATTTTGTATATAATTCAATAATTACATTCACATGTTTTTATGTGTGATTCTAAACAATTTTGGAGCCACTCTATTTATGAAGATGTGGCCATGCTAGTTTTTATTGGAGGTATATATATATATATATATATATATATTCACTAGAGTCTATTTCTTTCTTGTGTGGTTGAACGTAAAGCACCGGTGAGGTGATCTGCTTCCTGCTCGGCTAAATATAACACAAATGGCCCCAAACTGCCCAAGAGCCGTGGCGTCCCTCTGTGAGAATGACGCTCAAACCCGCTGTGCGCCCCAGCAGTCCCACGCAGCCCTCTAAAAACCATAATTACTCCACTGAAAATGTGAAACTTTATGAGCTTTTTCTTTTTTTTTTAGGGAAATTGAAGGTTTTGCAGAAAAGGTGCATTTTATATGCATTTATTGTCTTTATTGGAGTTCACCCTCACGACATTATATGATATAGGGGTGTAATGGTTCGGTACGTACCTCGGTTTTCAGGTTATGGTTCGGTACAGCAGGGGGGAGTAAACTAAACACAAAATTGCTTCTTTTATCTTTTTTTTTTTAAACTGTTTTTTTGTTTTTGTTTGTTTAAATAAATTCAATTATAAAAAAAATATATATATTATAAAAAGAGATTATAATCTCATCAAAGAAGATTAATATTAGTCTTCACAAACACCACTAATAGATTGTGGTGTCAGCAATGATGTAAATGATTGCATTAGCATGAAAACAACATTGTTGAATATTCTAGATTAGTGTGGATAGACTGTAAGCAGATGGCCAGTCTATGATTACCCTTGTAAAGAGTACTTATCACAGAAATAATATATTTTAAAATAATTTACTTCAGTGCGAACTGAATGTAATATTCCCTATATGTCAGTCACTTCGAGGTGGGGTCGATGACTGACACCAGGGGTCACACTTGGGAGCCCCAAACATCTCTGATACTTTGAGAAAAGGCCAATGAGAATTGGTCATTCGAATCTTTCATGCCACTCCCGAACATACGGGTGTAAAAGGGAGACGGCGTGCATCACTCATTCGGTTTTGTTCTTCTGAGCCGAGAGAGTTTCAACTCTACACAAGCTCATTTCATTCACCTCTGGAAAAAGTGAGTTGCTGGTGTTACGGCACATTTCAGCGATCTGTCTTCAAGTAGTGCACGGATAATTGCAGAGAGAGTTCCCCTGGGCGGTTCAGCAAAAATAAGGAGCAGCTTTGCTCTAAAAAGAGCAGCTTTGGTGGTCAAGGAGTGCCACCTCTGTCTTAACCTTGCTGAGATGAGACAGATCGACAAAGTCCGCTTTCTCGACGCCCCCATCGGGCCCTGCACAAGTTCCCGTTCAAGATGTTATCGCAGAAACGCATTCTGACATGCATGATAGACACCATCACTCAGGCTAGAGCCCCCTCTACAAGGCGGACCTTTAAGCTGAGTCTGTTCGCTAACTGGTGTGCTTCCCGAGGGGAAGACCCACAGAGATGTGAAATCGGGTCAGTGCTTTTCTTCCTGCAGGAGAGGCTGGAGGGCCTGGCTGTCTCCTTCCACCTTGAAAGTGTATGTGGCTGTCAAAGCGTCACATCTCGATGCAGTGGATGGTAAGTCTTTAGAAAAGCACAACCTGATAATCAGGTTCATCAGAAGCACCAGGGGGTTAAATCCTCCTAGGCCACACCTTATTCCCTCATGGGATCTCTCTGTAATCTTACTGGGCCTACAGGGAGCTCCTTTTGAGTCCTCAGTCGAGTCAGTAGAGCTCTCTTCGAAGACGGCCCTCCTGACCACGCTCACTTCCATCAAGAGGGTTGGGGACATGGAGGAGTTCTCTGCTAGCGAAACGTGCCTTGAGTTCGGTCCGGCATACTCTCACGTGGTCTTGGGACCCCGGCCAGGCTACATGCCCACTATCCTTTATAGAGACCAAAGGGGCTTTCGCACCGGAGAAACCTTTTCATAGTTCCTAGAACTATTGGCGGAAGTACCTGGATTTTGGCTTGTTCGCACTAGAGGAACTGGGAACGAGTGGGGTCTAAACCAGCACTATAGGAACTACCAGTGACGCGAGTATACGCTGATTGGCCGAACATGCGTGAAACACCAGCACCCGCAATTTTTAAAAAAGCTGTGTAAACACACAGATTATAGCCTATATATTTACTCCAGAAACTAACTCTACAAACATGAAAAAAAAGATGATAGATGAGCCTCTTAACCTTTACGCTGAGGAGAAAATCCAACACGACTCTGAGGGGACCAATAGAATCATGATTATGTATTTCTGCTTTGGCAACACTGGATATCAACCACACAGCATACGCTAATAACTTTTAATATACTGTCTACTTTCTATGTATAACAGTTATATCTAATAACGTATTAGACAGGACTGTTAGACAGATCGTAAACTAATGAACACGGAGAATGTGAGCACTGTCTGCTCAGGCCCTGGTGTTCTCGGCGCCGTCAAAATAAAAGTCACGGCAACAAGCGCGGCTTACGTCACTTCAAGGTTCCTACTGGCGGTGCGAATGCAACCAGGAAAATGTTCCTAAAGGGAACCATTAGTTTTCGGGAAACCATCATGGTGGCTAGTGGTGAGCTTGCAAGTGATGCCTCAGGATGAGGCAGACCCAGTCTTGTTGTTGCTGTGTCCAGTACACTGCCTGAATATGTACTTGGACCATACACAGATCTTCAGAATCTCTGAGCCCCTCTTTGTTTGTTTTGGGGGACAGCAGAAGGGGAAGGTTGTCTCCAAACAGAGGATGGCCCATTGGATTGTAATTGCCATTGCCCTGGCATACCAGGCCCAAGGCATGCCGTATCCCTTAGGATTGTGCGCACGCTTCATGAGAAGTGTTGCATCCTCCCAGGCTCTAGCAAACGACACCTCTCTAACAGACATCTGAACAGCTGGCTGGGCAACACCCAATGCCTTCCAGAGATTTTATCATCTCTGGGTTAAGCCAGTTTCGTTCCTTGTTCAATTGGGCTGGGTGTACCGCTAGCACACAGCGCCTTCCCCTCTCTTTTTTGTCCATGTGAGTTCCCTGGACTGGTGAACCCTGGACGTCAGTTTTCACCCAGCAACATTGACAATTGAATTCGGCGGAGGGATTGACGCCAAGCCCGGTACTCGTGATGCATGCCCATGTCAGGTCAGCTTGTATACTTGGGCTAGCTGCTCCATATGTAGCGATTCCCCGTTAGTTGTCCCATATGATGTATTGTCCTAGCCTGGTTAAAACCAGACCATTCTCAGTTGTAACTGAGTTATGGTCTGGCAAAGCGTCATAGACAAATCATTTCCAGAGGGGCGTCACCAACGGACGTCGCGGATAGACCTAAACCCAATCAGAGCGATGAAGGAGATGACGTATGCAGAGCGGCGGAGACACATCTCCGAGTGTTGTTCTTTGCTCGGTTTTTAACTAAAAGGAAACGTTCAAATCGCTTAAAACAGACGCGCTAGCTGATTCAAACGAGTGATGTTCGACGGCGGCATCCATCTTTGTAATGTAGGCTACAAAATCTGCTTCAAAATCCCAGCGCTGTCGTCATCGTGTAAAGCCCGCCCCAACGTTTCTGATTGGTGCCTCGATTTCGGCGGATTGGAAATGGGCTTGAATGAGCTCTTTGCCAGACTAACTTTCAGAGCAAATCTAAATTTGCCGGAAGTTGTCTGGGTTTTCCCAGGCTAGTATTGTCCATGATACAACGGTAAACCCGTGTCTTCCTCTAGGCCGTCTCTTCTGCCAGTTGCTGCGTTGGTAGTAGTTCCTCCCTTTCAGGTATGACCTACCTCGAGAAGGGTCTGGCTGCAGACTTGCACTCTCAGACTTGCACGCTCAGACTTGCACGCTCAGACACGAGCGCTTCCGCTGCAAGTGACGTCACTTGCAGTCGACACCTGCTCTCCGCTACCGGCTGTGGCGTCACTTGCAATCCCTTGTTCTCCGTGTTATTTCACAGAGTCGATTGATGCCAGATTTGAAGATAGCCAGCAAGTGGTGTTTGGATCAATCTAGTGCACTGCATGGTTCTGTTCATTTGCCCAAAGTAGTGTGTATGGAGGAACAAGACGTTGCGGAAGCCATTGAGAGATTAGAGAAGGCTGAGTTTCCACAGGACAGAATCGATGCTCTGGAACCCTTTTGCTTCATCTTTACTGTAATGAATGACATGCAAATGTTTCTTGAACATGCAGTCGATGTCATGAAATTAAAGGTAAACTGTCGAACTACACTAGAGCAAAGTGAATAATGTGCTAATGTGTTTTTATATATGTTGTATATTGTCTATTTGTACCTTGTATTTGTCTGTTTTGCACATTAAATGTGTACTGTAAATTGACATTTAAAAAAAAAAAAAAAAAAATGCATCATCTTGATGTTTTTCATCTACAAACTGTTCCCACAAAGTTGGGAGCATGAAATTGTCCAAAATGTCTTGAAAATAATTAAAAATAATTAAATATATTATAATAGTAAAAATAATTTCTTTCTTTCTCATAACTGAGTTTTGATTTCTAAGTGATCAATTTATGTACAAGTGTTTTCCCACATGATTATTGGCTGTAGGTCATCAGTAAATGTGGTAATTTGGTAATGTGGCATTTAAATGCCAGTGTTTCCCAGATGAAACACAAGAGCTGTTAGTTTTGAATGATGTGTGTAATGTAGAGAAATGTGTTTAGAGTTTTGCAAATAGTTTGTTTTTCAAATGCAAACTGAGTGCAAAGCATATAATGTCCTTGTATTTTTGCAGGCTTGGTCTAAAGATTGGGTACATGAGTGAATGGTTTCACTGAGTGAGCCTCAAATTCCACTTGTAGTGTTTTAGCAATTTGAAAAAAACTGTCAACAAAATGACAAATGACACCTTAACACGACCAAAATGAGCGTGTCTACGCGTTCAAAAGAAACACGTAAAAAATTGCCGCGGACAAACACTTCGTGTTGACGCGGTCAAATTTCACGCGTTTCGTTTATCGCGTTCCGTAGAGAGCAGGCGTCGATTGCAAGTGACGTCACTTGCAGCGGAAGCGCTCGTGTCTGAGCGTGCAAGTCCGAGAGTGCAAGTGACGTCACTTGTCTGCAGCCAGATGCTATTGCCTACCGCAGGGACCTCTTTCCATGTCCAGAGAAAAGGGGGGAAAAAACAGCTGAAGCAACCTATTCCCATTGTAAGGGCTGTCCTCGCTGTACAGGACTACACAGGGTGTTGGGTAGGCTACAATATTGCGAGTGCTCTTCTTACCCGGCACACAGGACTTGCCAACATCTGCACCACCAAAACCTCATAACACGTTGTGGTGTTTTCCCTTGGGAAGGTGGGATAGTGACTGACAGATAGGGAATGTCTCGGTTACTATTGTAACCTCCGTTCCCTGATAGAGGGAATGAGACGTGGTGTCGCTCCGCGCTGAAATGGTCGGGACACTGTATCGGCTCCTCAGCACAAACATGAATGAGTGATGCACACCGTCTCCCTTTTATACCCGTCCGGGGAGTGGCATGTGCAAATTCCACTCGCCAATTGACCGTTCGCAAAGACCCGCCCCCCTTAGTTACTGTCGCTATGTCCGACAAGCTACGCTGCTCTCACACACACACTCCATGTTCTCACGCAGTGAAAAATACATCGCGGACTGACAACACGCTGACAGACCAGGTTACTTTTCGGTTACTTTTGATATTAAACATATTAAACAAAGTCTCACCTTTCAAATTTGGTCATTTTTTTAAAAGAAATTGAAACAATAAATACCGTTTTGTGGCTCTTTAATGTGTCGGGACAGATTGCTGTAGAGCATCAGTTAAAGCTGCTCGTGATCCGATCATCTCTTCCTTCTAGTTCATTTATAGCATCAAATAAACATGACTGAACATAAGAAGGAATGTTGTTTTAACCGCAGAAAGGCGTCAGTACACACCGTTTTTCAAGTTCAAATCCTCCCATGTTAATCTACTAACTCTCCTGACTGCTTTGTCGGACAAAATGGCGGATGGCGAAGTATGATTGGTCAGATCATCTGTCAATCAAGCTCCCTGCGAAGGGTCAATTCTCCTTGACCTTTTCTCAAAGTATCAGAGGTGTTTGGGGCTCTCAAGTGAAACCCACCTAGTTTCAGTCATCAACACCAGGTCTCGTTACAATAGTAACTGAGGAACAATTGGTTGCATTTTATTTACAACTAATGTGAAATGTTGTATTGTCTTTTTTTGACCCATTTAAGTAGGACTTAAATACTGTACATCTTTATTTGTCATTTCATTATTATTTTTAAACATTGTCTTTGAAATATGGTTAATGTGTACTGCTGAATGTGCTGACAAGCATGAATGATAACCTAAATATACTTTAAGTACATTTAAAATATATTCACTTTAAATGTACATTTGAATAACACATACACAAAAACAGTTAAACTTTTAGCACACTAAAATTATACTTTTAGTGTGCTAGACATCTTCTTTATATCACAACAAACGATTATTAAAACACTTACTGTCTACTTAAGTGTGTTAAGAAGCATAATCGCGTGGCTTTGATTATTGATTATTAAGTGGCCTTTTATTTAATTTATATTATATTATGTACAAGTAGGCTTACAATTTAAAAAAATAATAATTTTAAGATTTGAAGTACCCAACAAGTGTACATTCAGTACAATTAAGCACACTTCCTTTTCACAAAAGTACGCATGCTGCTGGTATGGTCTACTACACTTATGCTGTCAGCTGATCCCAGATCAGTACCGGTATGAGTGTGTGGATCACCATGTGGTCTGATTGCAGATGTATCAGGACTGTTAACATGAGTGTCCTACAGTATTAGTCCAACGATTGTCAGTACACTTGTTGATCATACACCAAACTTTGTCCTTTCTGCTATTGATTGAAGCTTGTTGTTATGAATCTTGCTGATTTAAATATAGCACAGTGTAAACATATGCAGCTGGACAGGCACAAGAACACACACACACAGCACCAAACATTACGTTCACACCAGCCTGTGTGTGTGTGTGTGTTGATTAAAGTAGAAATGAGCAGTTTTCTCAGTGCCAAATCACAGCATCTCTCCTCTTGTGGAGCCTCGTCCCTCGTTCTCCTCTCATCCTCTCCTCTTTTCTTCGTTCTTCAGGAGAGAAGCGTGTTTCTGAGTGCCATTATGCTATGGCATCTCTGGGCGGCTCCTTTGTGCAAATCAAATCCGATGACATCCTCTTCTACGAGAACTGTGGCGGCGGGAGTTTCGGGAGCGTGTATCGCGCCCGCTGGCTCTCGCAGGATAAAGAGGTGGCGGTGAAAAAGCTTCTGAAGATTGAAAACGAGGTGGGAGTGAGAGTCGCCCGAGCTTTTCATACACATGCTTTAATTGTCAGTGTGATAATCATTTTAATTGCCTCTCTGTGTGTCGACTCCAGTCCGACCAGCGCGGTTACGCCTCCCCTCTACTCTACGCTCTCACAGCGTCTTTTGTGAACTGAAATTCATAGACTATGTCTTTAAGAGAAAATTGTCACATAATTAAGTCATATTAGTTTCAGCTGGTTGCAGTGTTTGTCTTTGGGGTGAAGTGTATTTACTTTTAAGTGCTGGATTCATTGTCGTCTTTGTTCTTCGCATATAGTGATTTCCGAGCATAATGGCTCTGGTAATGTTTGGGATGGGACCATTTGGTCGGGGGAAAATTACATTAAAAATTATAATTCGATGGAGGAACTAACCGCTTAAAAAGTCAGCTTAAAATCACACAAATGTATCATCAGCTGTCTAATAAAACTTCAAATTCATCTGATTCACTTCATATTCCAGACTTTTTTAAGTCAGCTTTTCACTTTAATTGTTGTGCTGATTATATAATTTGGGTTACACTTTATTTTAAGGTGATGTAGTTACATTGTACTTACTTAAATAAGTACGGGCAAGCAATATAATTAACTACATGTCCTTAATATAGAGTTAGGGTTTAGGTTTGGTTTGGGGTTAGTCACTTGTAGTTATGCATAATGTACTGTTATTACTATAGTAAATACATGTTGTAACTGTGTCACCTTAAAATAAAGTGTTTCCATCAATTGTAATTAAAATTTCTTTCTTAGAATGCACATATTGAATCTGCATTATGAATCTGTATAGCATATTGTCATGTTTCAATTCTTTGTGCTGGCTGTATTTGTAGGCAGATATTTTAAGTGTTCTCAGTCATCGAAACATTATCCAGTTTTATGGAGCGATCCTGGAAGCTCCCAACTATGGAATTGTTACAGGTCAGTAAAACATGACTCAGATCACAACATTTATTACAGTGTTTGCAAGGCAGGGCTTTTTTGAAATTCCTCAAACGCTCTATTTTTAGTATTCTCCATTCAATCTTTGCTTCATAGATCATTTTAGCCTTAGATTTTGTTTTTTTATTTATAATTAATAATTATTTTCGGCGTTTTACCTCTTTATTCTTTTCTATACTTTAAAAAATGTAAGATTGAAGTTGGAAAATTATGTAATTGTTTTAATTTGCATAATAAATTGTGCTAGATCTTCCTTAGATCTATTTATCCATCTATATTACATATTAATACCCATATATCATAACATCTAATTATTTGTTCTTGCTATTTGTTCTTGACTTGGAAGCACTGTTACTTCCTTCAGGAAATGCTAATTTCCAGTTTCATTTGCATTTGGTTCATAATAAGCAAATAACAACAATAAACAAATATCCATTGGTCTCCAGTTTGTGAATTCACATATTGAAATTTTCCACTTTAATAAAATTATTAATAAATTACCAGTCAATTTTCAGAACAAGTGTTCTTATAATTTGATTAATATATATATATATATATATATATATATATACGGTGTGTGTGTGTGTGTGTGTGTTTATTATTCTGCTGATTCTTAATTATTGGGATAAATCAGACTACAGAAGTGCAAATATAAACATTATCTATCAAAGATTTTTTTGTCCATGTATTGAAAATATTACATTTTTGATTAGTCATGGATTAATGAGATTGTGGGACCTTTGTCTGTAAGGAGACGCGGTATGTTGGTCTGCTTCTGCTTTTGCTGTGCTGAGTGAGTGTGACTCAAATGAAGATGCAGTGATTGTAAAAGATCATAAAGTGCTGTGCAAAGAGTCTATGGTCTGCAGTATTGAGAGACAGTTGAGTCTCTCTTTATGAAAAGTAAATATAATAAGAGCAGGTGAAGGTGACGTTTATGACCAGCTCACCTTTGTCAGTGAGGCTATTATTAATTTCCCCTGTGTAGCCTATGTATCTCTGTTTGAAACTGATAATCTGACCATTATATGATGTGTGCTTACAGTGGCCTAAACCTAAGCTAAACATACAGTATTCATGAATATTAACAGACTCAACTTCACTTGTATGCCAGTGGTATGTGTCTGTATTTGGATACCTCACATTCTTTTGGGAACACATCTTTTGTGGTGGGACATGCTGAACGTTTTTTATAACCTATTACTGATATTAATTTAGACACTACATGGAGTACTGGTACTTTTATAAATCAATTTGTAAGACTATTTAACTATTCAACTCTGTGATTCAGTTATTATTAAATCCTTTACTGCAAATCTTATATATAAATTAGTAATTTGATATATATTCAATCAAAATTAAAAATCAATATAAAATATATTATATAATTTAATTATATGATTTAATATATATATATATATATATATATATATATTCAATAAAATTAAAAATCAATATAACATATATTCAATAAAATATATTATAATTTAATTATATGATTTAATATATATATATTCAATAAAATTAAAAATCAATATAAAATATATTATATAATTTAATTATATGATTTAATATATATATATATATATATATATATATATATTCAATAAAATTAAATTAAAAATCAATATGAAATATATTATATAATTTAATTATATGATTTAATATATATATATAGTACGCAAATATGAGGCATATTATAATGATTTTTGAAGAATCATGTGATGAAAATACAGCTTTGAATAGCCTATACTTATTCAGTAAGAATAAGAAATAGTTATTGCTCTTATTCATATTTTCAAATCTTCTTAAGTATTTTATAAGAAAATACTTATTAAAAATCATATATCCTCATGTTAGTGTCACAGTCTGTCTTGTCTCCGCCTCTTCACTACACTTCCCAGCATCCCTCTTGTCTACACACCTGCTTGTCTTCATCGTTATCACCTTCCTCACAGCTGCCTGTCGTTTATGTAATCATCATCACTGTGTATTTAAGTTCCTGTCTGCATTCAGTTCATTGTCCGGTATTGTTCGTGTTTGACACGCTGTCTCACCTGTTCCTATGTATCTGGAGTCTCTACGAGTAAAGAAAGTGTTTACTACGTTCTTCGTCTGTCTTCTCTGAACCAACCCGTGACAGAATACCGGACCCGAAAAAGTATGGAAGTTGGCCGCTTCCTATCAACCCCAGCCGATCTTTTGGTGCATTGTTTTCAGGACGGACTCCCAATTGAGGATTATGTCTCCAAATTCCTGACAATTTCCAACGGGGTAAGCTGGACAGATGATGTCCTGAAGTCTGTGTTTTGGGGCGGGCTAGATGAGAGCCTGTACCAACTAGCTCCAGCGGCAGCTATCCAAGGCACGTTTGTCCAGTACATCGATCATGTGTTGTGGTTGTGTGGGTCAGCCTTCACCGTTGGTGAGGCTGAAGATGACATCACCACACAACCACACACTACAGCCATCTCCACCACTCCAAACACAGAGCCTTCTCCGCTGGTTCCGTCCAGCCCTTCAGAGCCTTCTCCGCTGGTTCCGTCCAGCCCAGTCAAGCCCTCACCGCTGGTTCCGTCCAGCCCAGCCAAGCCCGCACCGCTGGTTCCGTCCAGCCCAGCCAAGCCTGCACCGCTGGTTCCGTCCAGCCCAGCCAAGCCTGCACCGCTGGTTCCGTCCAGCCAATCTGAGCCCGTCGCCTGCCCGCCAGAGCCTGAGCCCGTCGCCTGCCCGCCAGAGCCTGAGCCCGTCGCCTGCCCGCCAGAGCCTGAGCCCGTCGCCTGCCCGCCAGAGCCTGAGCCCGTCGCCTGCCCGCCAGAGCCTGAGCCTGTCGCCTGCCCGCCAGAGCCTGAGCCCGTCGCCTGCCAGCCAGAGACCGTCCAGCCAGAGACCGTCCAGCCAGAGACCGTCCAGCCAGAGACCGTCCTGCCAGAGACCGTCCTGCCAGAGACTTCTTCCCCGCTGGTCCCGTCCAGCCCTGCCGAGCCCTCACCGCTGGTCCCGTCCGCCCTGCCAGAGACTGTTTTCCCACCCAGCCTCCCTCTCCCACCTCCCTTCATCTGCCACCTTTCAACCCGTCCACCCCTGACTACCAGCCCTGCTGATCCAGCCTGGTCGGTGGATCCCTGGCCTCCGCCTCCAACCTCCTCTACCAGGACTCTACCTCGGCCCTTCGTCCCATCTGCTCCCCCTTGGCTCTTACCTCCCTCAGCTCCACCATGGCCCCTCAGTCCCCCAGTTCCGCCAGGCTCCCTCGTCCCCCCGGATCCACTTTGGTCCCTCGTCGGCCTTCCCTCACCTTTGGACTTCTCTCCTCTGGCTACGCCTCGTCCTTTCGTCCCCCCGGTTCTGTTGGACTCCTCACTCCCCTCAGTATCCCTTTGGTCCTCACTCCCTCTGTCTCCACCGTGTCCTTCTGTGTCCCTGTCTGCACTTCAGTCACCGGAGCCTACGGTCTCACCATGTCCCTCCAGTCCTTCAGCGTCACCCTGTCTCGTCGGCTCTACGGCTTCACCCTGGTCTCCTCTCTCACCTGCTCCGCCGCTGTCAGTCGGCCCCCTGGTGTCATCAGCCCCGCCTCCGCCTTGGCTCCTCCCTCCATCTGCTCCGCCTTGGCTCCTTCCTCCATCTGCTCCGCCTTGGCTCCTCCCTCCATCTGCTCCGCCTTGGCTCCTCCCTCCATCTACTCCGCCTTGGTTCCTCTGCAGCGCGAGGTCGCGCTTTCCGGAGGGGGGGTGTAATGTCACAGTCTGTCTTGTCTCCGCCTCTTCACTACACTTCCCAGCATCCCTCTTGTCTACACACCTGCTTGTCTTCATCGTTATCACCTTCCTCACAGCTGCCTGTCGTTTATGTAATCATCATCACTGTGTATTTAAGTTCCTGTCTGCATTCAGTTCATTGTCCGGTATTGTTCGTGTTTGACACGCTGTCTCACCTGTTCCTATGTATCTGGAGTCTCTACGAGTAAAGAAAGTGTTTACTACGTTCTTCGTCTGTCTTCTCTGAACCAACCCGTGACAGTTAGTCACATGTATCAGTAGGGTTGTATGAGGCATCTAAACATCAAATAACTAAATAAGGAGTGCCTTGAAGTCCATAGCTTAGCACTCATTTGTTTGTTTCTCAGCAAAAAGGGCTGTCAGAGTTTGAAACAATTTTTCATTTAATCATTTTAGCTGTTGCCTTCTAAGTACTACGCCATGCAAATAAATGACACTGCAGTTGTGTTTCCTCTTGTACGTAGATGTCAGTGTTTGTGTATATAAGGGATTATGTGGTGTTTTAATGTTCCAGTGTATTTAGATGATGTCATTGAGTGTTTGAGCTCAGAAACAGGATATTGTGATAATGTGACTCACTTTATATCACAGTACTTGATGACAACTAATACTAGTAGTGCACCACGTCCCACAGCATGACAGCAGTGATATGTAAAACTACTGCCCAACACGAGAGATTATGTATTTTAATTTGTATTCTATGTGTATGTGTGTGTGTGTGTTTTATGGTAGAGTATGCCAGTGGTGGATCTCTGTTTGACTATCTGTCCAGTGCCGAGAGTGAAGACATCAGTATGAAGCAGATTATGACCTGGGCCATGGACATTGCTAAAGGTATTATATACACTTACACACACATAAACTGAAAAAAACAAAACAAAGATGAGATTAGCCCCTGGTTTCACAGACAAGGCTTGAAGGGATAGTTCACTAAAAAAATGAAAATTAGCCCATGATTTACTCACTCTGAAGTCATCCTAGGTGTATATGACATTCTTCTTTCAGACGAATACAATCAAAGTTATATTAACTCTTCCAAGCATTATAATGAGAGTCAATGGGTATATTTTTTTGGAAGTACATCAAAGCGCATCCATCCATGATAAAAGGGCTCGACACGGCTCTGGCGGGATAATAAAGGATATAAACGTGTATGTGTCACGTATACAGTCACCACACCAGCTCTATCACCTCTACCGCACTACACTTCCCAGCATCCCTCATGTTTCCCACCGGCACATCATCAGCCATCACCTAATTACTAGGGCTGTAGCGATTCACTAATCTCACGATACGATACACGATATTCAGCCAACGATACGATTCAATATAATTCGATACATCATTTTATGAAAGATTTAAAGGGGACAGAGTGATTTTGGTGACATCTTGTGAGTGTTCCATTTACTTGGATTGAATTAATTGAACTGAAAACTAAAATCATCAATTACACAATATATGTCTCTGACTGGACAGAGTCTCTACAGCTTGCAAATGCTGTACAAATTGAATCAAAGATGTGTTGAGAAAATTAGTTCCATTTATTGAAACGTTGCAAACTGTAGCTTACAAGCCTTTGAAAAGTAAATACAGTGCAGTAATGCAATTAACAATGCAGAGTTAAAAAGTGCAAATAAAGTTTTGAGAAAAAAAGGTTTTATAAAAAGATAAACCTAACATATTTCAGCCTTGAAATCATTTTTATAAAAAGAATGAGTCAAAAAATATAAATTACTGACATTTACAATGCACAATAGTAAAATTCGGTCCGATTTTCCCGTGGCGTCTGTCGTTGCTAAGCAACCATGCACTGCGCTCTCCACAGCGACAAAGAAGTTTTAGTAGCTAATAGATTTCCACCACCGAAAAACGCTTGCTGTAGCTCTGCTAAGTTACAAGATTTATTTACGGAGAAGAGAAAAACACCCGTAGTGTTTGGGTGCACCCCCGACCTTCATGTTGACCGAGCTTTCAATGTTGTTACGGAAAGGGTGAAGCTGATGGTTGGTTCTTGTCTCATGAACTGCGGTGCGCTTGCGGCATTCTGAAAAGTTGAGGCGTTTTCATCTCGCTGCCCCTGGGAAAAATGAGCGCGTCGCTTCAATTATGAGTGTGCTTGCCGCGCGCCTACATTTGAAATAACGAACTTGAGTGCGCAAAAGACACGATATGTGAACGGCCCCTTGACGAGCTAAATTAAACACGGGGATTTGAATGGGACTTATGTATCGATACTCGCGGCTTAAAAATCGATACTTTCTTGGAGAAAAAAATATCGATTTATATCGCAGAATCGATAAAATTGCTCAGCCTTACTAATTACATCAGCATCTGCACCTCATCATCAGCAGTCCCTATAAAGAGACACTTCTCCTGCACACCATGGTCTGGTCTCGTCATTCCCTCAAAGAAAACGTACCTGACTCCTTACCTGCACGATACTTACTCGAACGATTTGTCTTCAGTCATCTGCTTCCTTCATCCGTCTTCAGTCATGTGCCTCGATCTCCATTTCAGAACCTGCAACAGATCAGACCATTACTCATCCTGAACACTATATTCATCAGTTACTCACCTGCTTCCATCGTTGCGAACACATACTTCTGCAAATAAACCTGTTGATTACTTTACCTGTGTGAATCCTTCTGTTTCATGACAGAAGACCAGACCCTAAACTTAAAGTATGGGTGTTTCCCGCATCCATCAAAACCCTACCGATCGTCTGATAAACTGTTTCCAGGATGGCTGCCCGATTGAAAGAGTTCCTAGAAATTTCACACCAGGTCAACTGGACAGATGACGTCCTAAAGAACGTGTTCGGGCTTGGACTGGACGATCCTCTGCACTAGCGAGCTTCAGCAGCAAAACCAGGTTCATTCGCACAATACCTGGATCATGTGCGGTTGTTGAGCGGTCCAGTCTTCACCGTGGGTGAGGCTGATGATAACATCGCCACTCAACCACCATCACCAGCCATCTTCCTCGCCACACTGCCTGCACATCTTCACGTCATGCCTATCAAGCCTGAATGTCTTCACGTCAGGTCTGCCCAGCCTGAGCTTCGTCACGTCATGCCGGTAGAGCCTGAGATTCTTCACGTCATGCCTATCAAGCCTGAATGTCTTTACGTCATACCTGCCGAGCCAGAGACTGTTCACGCCATGTCAGCCGTGCCTGTGTCTTCGGACAAGATGGTCAGCGCCTGAGAATTCACCGCCGGTCCCTGAGACCGCTTCACCCCACAAGCCAGCTCCAGAGTCTCGTCCCATCTAGACAGCTGCCCTTCCAGAGTCTCGTCCAGTCGAGGTCATCGCCCTTCCAGAGTCTCGTCCTGTCGAGGTCACCGCCCTTCCAGAGTCTCGTCTCGTCGAGGTCACCACCCTTCCAGAGTCTCGTCCCGTCGAGGTCACCGCCCTTCCAGAGTCTCGTCCCGTCGAGGTCACCGCCCTTCCAGAGTCTCGTCTCGTCGAGGTCACCGCCCTTCCCGAGTCTCGTCTCGTCGAGGTCATCGCCCTTCCAGAGTCTCGTCTCGTCGAGGTCACCGCCCTTCCAGAGTCTCGTCTCGTCGAGGTCACCGCCCTTCCAGAGTCTCGTCCAGTCGAGGTCATCGCCCTTCCAGAGTCTCGTCTCGTCGAGGTCATCGCCCTTCCAGAGTCTCGTCCTGTCGAGGTCACCGCCCTTCCAGAGTCTCGTCTCATCGAGGTCATCGCCCTTCCAGAGTCTCGTCCAGTCGAGGTCATCGCCCTTCCAGAGTCTCGTCCCGTCGAGGTCATCGCCCTTCCAGAGTCTCGTCTCGTCGAGGTCACCGCCCTTCCAGAGTCTCGTCTCGTCGAGGTCATCGCCCTTCCAGAGTCTCGTCCTGTTGAGGTCACCGCCCTTCCAAAGTCTCGTCTCGTCGAGGTCATCGCCCTTCCAGAGTCTCGTCCTGTCGAGGTCACCGCCCTTCCAGGGTTCTCCACCTGTCGAGGTCATCGCACTTCCAGAGTCTCGTCCTGTCGAGGTCATCGCACTTCCAGAGTCTCGTCTCGTCGAGGTCACCGCCCTTCCAGAGTCTCGTCTCGTCGAGGTCATCGCCCTTCCAGAGTCTCGTCCTGTCGAGGTCACCGCCCTTCCAGAGTCTCGTCTCGTCGAGGTCATCGCCCTTCCAGAGTCTCGTCCTGTCGAGGTCACCGCCCTTCCAGAGTCTCGTCTCGTCGAGGTCATCGCCCTTCCAGAGTCTCGTCCTGTCGAGGTCACCGCCCTTCCAGAGTCTCGTCCTGTCGAGGTCATCGCCCTTCCAGAGTCTCGTCCTGTCGAGGTCATCGCACTTCCAGAGTCTCGTCTCGTCGAGGTCACCGCCCTTCCAGAGTCTCGTCTCGTCGAGGTCATCGCCCTTCCAGAGTCTCGTCCTGTCGAGGTCACCGCCCTTCCAGAGTCTCGTCTCGTCGAGGTCATCGCCCTTCCAGAGTCTCGTCCCGTCGAGGTCACCGCCCTTCCAGAGTCTCGTCCCGTCGAGGTCACTGCCATGCCTGAGCCCGTTCTCATGAGAGAAAGCACAGAGACTGTTCACGTCACGCATCCTGAGCCCTTGCCAAAGATGGCCACCGCCTCACTGTCTGGCCCCTCTGCAAATATGGCCGCCACCTGAGCCCTCAAACCAGGATGGTCGCTGCCACATCAGAACCTGTTCCTGTTCTGTTCCTTGACCTGTTTCTGCTCAAAGAACTGTTCCTGTTCCTCGACCTGTTCCTGCTCAAAGAACTGTTCCTGTTCCTCGACCTGTTCCTGCTCAAATAACTGTTTCTGTTCCTAGACCTGTCCCTGAATCTGTTCCTGAGCCTGTATATGTTCCTGGGCCTGAGTGCAAGCCCATAGATATTTGGGGGTTTGGGTGGGGTGGGGGCTATGGGTCCCTGGCCAGAGTGGTCAAACCTGAGTCTAATGGAAAGGCCACAATGGCTGATCCGCCCTTGCCACCCAAACTGCAGACTCCGCCCTGCCCGCCCGAACGGAAGGCACCGTCCTGGAGGCCTCTGGTCCCTCCTAACCACGTCCTCGTTAGCCTCCAGGCTCGTTAGCCTGCCCGCCCTCTTAGACTCCTTGTATTACGCCTGCCTTCTCCAGCCCTTCGCCACTCCTTCCAACCCTTCACCTGCCCCTCATCCTCTTCCTGAACCCCCCTCCCTCAGCAGTTTCGTCCATCTACGGCACGAGGTCGCACCTTCCGGGAGGGGGAGATACTGTCACATATCCAGTCACCACACCAGCTCTGACACCTCTACCGCACTACACTTCCCAGCATCCCTCATCCCCCAAGAACTTAGGCCCTGTTTACACCTGGTATTAAGATGCGTTTTGGTCAATTGGATCACAAGTAGACGAGAGACACATTCCCGTTCACACCTGGTGTTTTAATCCGTCTCTTTTGTCCACTTTCAACCACTTCTGTCCTGATTTCTTCAAGGGGAGGGTCTGTGGGCGGGTAAATGTATGGGCTTTTTCAGATCTTTCCATCTAATCGACAAAAAAGACTCGTGCAATTAACATAAGAACGCGACCGAAGACGACGGAAAAGCATAGGGGGAGCAGCAGCTTTCATTTCTGCTCAAGACCAGCCGAACGCTGAGAGTGTGTGTTAGAAATCAGGAATGGTGAGTGTTTGGTATGTTTTTCATCTTCAAGCCAAAACTTGGGTCTCCCACCGACAAAGTTTAAACCCCGTCTGGGTAGAGCTCTTCTCATTATGTCACTCATTAGTTCATCATTAGGTCAGTAGACGGAGAGTAGACGGTCTTTTGTGGCCGTTTGAACACATTCGATCACATGAGTGTTTACACTACGAAAGCAATCCGGTCGAATTTGTTTTTGACTACCTCTGGAAGTGGTTGAAAGTGGACAAGCTCAAACGTTTTAGACCCGTTTTCTCCTGTATTTAGGGTCGTCCACTTGTGATCCGATCGACCAAAACACATCTTCATACCAGCTGTAAACTGGGCCTCAGTCACTGATAAACAGTGATCGACAGCTTCAGCGATTATAAAGGGAGGGGTCTTTGATCGATTTCTGTATATCATTAAATTACAATTGAAATAACAGATTATTTTCATGCTACTAAAAGAAACAATGTGAAGTTGATTGTTCGGCTGATTAACAGATGCATAAACAGCAGTAAACAATTTTGAGACAAATAACAGCTGACTGTACATAAATCATATCAGAAATCACTTATTGCAGATCAGGCATTATAACTTACATGGTTACTTAAATGTTGTGGCATTACTGACAGGTCCATATCTTACAATAAAAGTCTGTTTGCAAAGCCTGCGCCGAAATGCGACTGATTGACCAAAGAATCAACGGTGAAATGTACAGAACAAACAAATAATGCTCTCCTGAGACATTAAGATAGTTGAAAATAAATAACTTTCCCAGAATCAGGATCCTTTGGAAAAGTAATGTTATTTCTAGTCCATTGATAATGTATCTCTCTACACTCATTCGTGGCAGTGGGCGGGGCCAAAGACGTGATGATGTAGAAGTTTGCATTGATTTGGTTCTGCAGAGGCTTTTGTCGCACCATTACGTTACGTCATATGAACACATTACATCATACATTGCAAGATCATAGTCTCTTATGCTTTCCAATATTGCATTTATTTGATCAAAAATACAGAAGCAAACAGTAAAAATGTGAAACATAATTACAATTTAAAATAACTGTTTTCTATGTGAATTAATATATATAAAAAAAATTTATGTATTCCTGCCTAACTAATTTAATCCTGTAATTTGATGCAAAGCTGAATTGGCTGTGACACTGAAGACTGGAGAAATGATGCTGGGAATTCAGCTTTACCATCAAGAGAATAAATGACATTTTTAACTATATTACAACAGAAAACATTTCTTTAAAATTGTAATAAATATTACGTTTTTACCGTATTTTTGATACAGCTTTGGTGAGCAGAAAAGACTTCATTCAAAAGCTTTAAAAAACCTAATAACTCCAAACTTTTGACTGGAGTGTGAGCACTTTAACAACATTATAAGCTTCAGATTTCTGCGATGAACCCCTCTAGGCCTCAATTATAATCGCAGTACTGTAAACACATTTCCTGTTTGTTTATACACACAGAGAATTGGGAGAAGCAACAGATGTTGTTATTTTGACTCATATACTTCTTCAAGGACCTTCAGTATAATAATAGCCCCTTTCGCACCGGGTAGTTATAGGAACTTAGTTATAGGAACTAGCCACCAGTGTGGTTCCCCGAGAACTAAATGTTTCCATAGGGCCATTTTCCTGGTTGCATTCGCTCCGCCAGTAGGAAATCTGAAGTTCCTAGAACTAAAATCGTTCCCAGTTCCTGTGGTGCAAACACTGCACAAAGCGGGTACTTCCACCATTAGTTCTAGGAACTATGAAAAGGTTCCTCTTGTGCGAAAGCCCCTATTCACTAATAACAAAATCAAATTCTAGTCTTTCACAATTGGTTTGCTTGTATGTTGTGTTTTCTCTCGTAGGCATACACTATCTGCACGCTGAGGCCCCGTTTACTGTCATTCACAGAGACCTCAAGTCCCGAAATGGTTTGTAACTTTGTGAAATAAAGGCTGTATAAATATTTATTTGAGTTCAGGAGTGCTTGAATACTGTCTGTCTCTATGATCTGAAGACCTTGTGTTTCTTTTCAGTTGTGTTGACAGCAGATTCAGTTCCCAAGGTACATGATGACTGTCTATTCATACAAACAGAATCAAGTTCTCTATAGTTCTGCATGAAAAAGTCTGCTGATTAACTTTATTTTTATTATCTGAACTCTCCGTTTCCTCAGATCTGTGATTTTGGGGCGTCTAAGTTTCACTCTCACACCACCCACATGTCTCTGGTGGGCACATTTCCCTGGATGGCCCCTGAAGTCATCCAGAGCTTCCCTGTGTCTGAGACCTGTGACACTTACTCTTACGGAGTGGTGAGTGTCTGAACGTCAGCGCTGGTGTGCCTCTAGCGACTTGCACTGAAAAAAGTGAAAAGGCTGTGCCATTCACTATTATTATTATTCTGCTGTAAAACTGATTGTGCAGACCAAACCGTAAGGCCTAGAGACTTGAAACTTGGCAAGATGGTAGATCTCAATTTGGGGAAATATTGACACCAAATCACCCTAATCGGCCAATAGGGGGCGCTACTGCGATCAAATATATGAAACCGCTCATAACCCCTAGACCGTCTGTCGTAGACTCAAGTGCCTTACACCAAGACGGACAAAATATATACAGGTCCTTCTCAAAAAATTTGCATATTGTGATAAAGTTCATTGTTTTCCATAATGTAATGATAAAAATTAAACTTTCATATATTTTAGATTCATTGCACACCAACTGAAATATTTCAGGTCTTTTATTGTTTTAATACTGGTGATTTTGGCATACAGCTCATGAAAACCCAAAATTCCTGTCTCAAAAAATTAGCATATCATGAAAAGGGTCTCTAAACGAGCTATTAACCTAATCATCTGAATCAACTAATTAACTCTAAACACTTGCAAAAGATTCCTGTGGCTTTTAAAAACTCCCAGCCTGTTTCATTACTCAAAACCGCAATCATGGGTAAGACTGCCGACCTGACTGCTGTCCAGAAGGCCATCATTGACACCCTCAAGCAAGAGGGTAAGACAGAAAGAAATTTCTGAACAAATAGGCTGTTCCCAGAGTGCTGTATCAAGGCACCTCAGTGGGAAGTCTGTGGGAAGGAAAAAGTGTGGCAAAAAACGCTGCACAACGAGAAGAGGTGACCGGACCCTGAGGAAGATTGTGGAGAAGGACCGATTCCAGACCTTGGGGGACCTGCGGAAGCAGTGGACTGAGTCTGGAGTAGAAACATCCAGAGCCACCGTGCACAGGGGTGTGGAGGAAATGGGCTACAGGTGCCGCATTCCCCAGGTCAAGCCACTTTTGAACCAGAAACAGCGGCAGAAGCGCCTGATCTGGGCTACAGAGAAGCAGCTCTGGACTGTTTCTCAGTTTTGCATGTCATTCGAAAATCAAGGTGCCAGAGTCTGGAGGAAGACTGGGGAGAAGGAAATGCCAAAATGCCTTAAGTCCAGTGTCAAGTACCCACAGTCAGTGATGGTCTGGGGTGCCATGTCAGCTGCTGGTGTTGGTGCACTGTGTTTTATCAAGGGCAGGGTCAATGCAGCTAGCTATCAGGAGATTTTGGAGCACTTCATGCTTCCATCTGCTGAAAAGCTTTATGGAGATAAAGATTTCTTTTTTCAGCACGACCTGGCACCTGCTCACACTGCCAAAACCACTGGTAAATGGTTTACTGACCATGGTATTACTGTGCTCAATTGGCCTGCCAGCTCTCCTGACCTGAACCCCATAGAGAATCTGTGGGATATTGTGAAGAGAAAGTTGAGAGACGCAAGACCCAACACTCTGGATGAGCTTAAGGCCGCTATCGAAGCATCCTGGGCCTCCATAACACCTCAGCAGTGCCACAGGCTGATTGCCTCCATGCCACGCCGCATTGAAGCAGTCATTTCTGCAAAAGGATTCCCGACCAAGTATTGACTATTGAGTGCATAACTGAACATAATTATTTGAAGGTTGACTTTTCTTTTTGTATTAAAAACACTTCTTTTATTGGTCGGATGAAATATGCTAATTTTTTTTAGACTTTTGAGGAATTTGGGGTTTTCATGAGCTGTATGCCAAAATCATCAGTATTAAAACAATAAAAGACCTGAAATATTTCAGTTGGTGTGCAATGAATCTAAAATATATGAAAGTTTAATTTTTATCATTACATTATGGAAAATAATGAACTTTATCACAATATGCCAATTTTTTGAGAAGGACCTGTATATTTTTGCAAACTAGTCCTAGGTTTTTCGTCCAATCGGAACCAAACCAGTGCAGACATACTCTCTGGAGTCTGATATATCCATAATTATCAAAAAAAAGTTGAAATATCAATTCACGGTTGTAAAGGGAAGCCAAAATGTTTGAAGTGTGCGGAGTCTTTTTTACTAAAATTTCTGTAACGAGATATATTCACCAAACTCAGAACATACACATATAGGCAAATGCTTAAGAGTCTATGATTGGATCATTATTGCAGTGATTAATATGTTGCATGTTTTGCAACAGTTCTTCTAGCCCTAATTGATGGAGTGTGTAGCTTTTCACTTCTTAAACAACCATGTAGGAAGAACATCATGAACATATTCCAGGATGAAGAATCATTTTCACACATGAATCGGCACCTCTGAGTCCAGACCCTAAAGAGTTATTTCACCCAAAAATGGAAATAATCCCATAATTTACTCGCTCTCAAGCCATTCTAGGTGTATATTACTTTCTTCTTTCAGCCAAACACAATCGGGGTTATATGTAAGGGATAATGTACATCCAGCTGGTTGTTATCTCAAAATCGTGATGGAAATAAATGTTGTGATGTTATTTCCATCAAGAGGTGCATCAGTTTTCGGTCAGATCTTGTATTGACAAAGACTCTCAATGTATTTTTGAAAATGATCTGTGGGAAAATAAATATTTGTATTAATATTAAATCAATATTTAACCAAAATATTATATAAAATGTATTTAAAACTAATCAATTTGGCTGTATCAGTTTTGTAATCAGTTGGTGGATTCGCTGGTTGTGTTGGCATCTTTTTCTGATAGCTGTGAATTATAAGCAGGTTTCTTTCAGGTCCTGTGGGAGATGTTGACGCGTGAAATTCCCTTCAAAGGTCTGGAGGGTCTGCAGGTGGCCTGGCTGGTGGTGGAGAAGAACGAGGTGACGGGAGACTCTGATTGGCTGTGTCACTGATGAGCTGTGTTCAGCAGGTTTTGACTTGTGTCGTGTGTGTTGTGCAGAGGTTGACGATTCCCAGTTGCTGCCCAGCCAGTTTCGCCTGTCTGATGAGAAGCTGCTGGGTGACGGAACCAAAAGTAAGTAAAAAAAAACTAAAATCCATGCATGTTTACCTCGAAATGTAAATTAGGTCACATAGTAGATCGTGACCACAGACTAAACCAAACCCAGTCATACAGGTTTGGAACGGCTTGAGACAGGTGGATCAACTTTTACAGTGTGATTATCCTGTGAGATCTTATTTAGCAAATACAGTATAAATTGTTATGGTTTTGACACTGCATAGCAATCATACAGTAAACCTTGATAATGACACACATTGGAGAGCATTCGCAATATGTTGCATTATACTACTAATACAGTAATTATGCAGTGCTTAAGTAGATTGGTATTTGCTCCACGTTAAAGTGCAATGCATTAATGCATGAATAATAGATAAGACATGCTGTTTGGTTAGGATATTAATAACCGCTGTCTTTATTAATATACGACTGTCTCTTATCCTGACATTTTTAATTCATCCAATCAAAGTTCATTTGATCTGCCTCATGTCAGGGCTTGTGTTTTCCCCTCTCAGTTTCACTCTCTCAGATCGCACATCTCCTCTGAACGCTCACACTCATTTAAGTGAGCTTCATAAACTCATGTTGGCTGGCGCTGACGTCCGCCTGTCACTCACAGAGCACGGGCGTGCCAGAAAACAGTATCATAACACTGAAAAACACACAGATTGCAATTTGAGCAACACACAGTTGTTGCAACTCTGATAAGTATCATATGGACGTTTCTACCGTGCATTAAACTGATGACAACTTGCAAACGTTTAACTGAAAAAGCTGTTAATGTGACACACAGCCTGCTGCTTTTATGAACCGTTTCAACCTTTCAAGTACTTGTGAAAAAGAAGTACACTTAATTGTATTGAATGTGCACTTGTAGTGTACTTCAAAATCTTAAAAGTCATTTTTTTAAGAAACGGTACTTGCAGATAATATATTAATTAAATAAAAAGTTAGACATTTTCATGCCTGTTTCTTAACACACTTAAGTACGTTTATAAATTCACTTTGTAATAGTCAAATTAAAAGTTTCACTTTAAAGTACAAAATCATTGTTTTAACAATCTTTTGTCATATTTTAAATAAGTGCACTTATTTTGATGTGTTGACTAACATACTAAAACACATGTAAAGGACTTCATTATAATTGTATCTGTAGTGTGTTATTCAGTATTACATTTAAAGATAATTTAAAAGTAATAAATTGCAACTTCATCATTACAAATGTGTAATTACAAATATATTTAAGTACACGGCGTACAAGCTTCAATATAGAAATGGCATTAAATTATATTTTATTTGACCATAAATGCTTGTCATGCATTCAACTCTACACTTTAACCATATATCAAAGACAATAGGAGTACCTATGAAATTACACATAAAAATGTACTTAAGCGGGCCAAAAAAACTCTTCAAGTTGCTTTTAATATAAATTTAATTACAAGTGACTTTCAATTAAGTGTCCGAAAACATTACATGCAGTGCACACAAGTATATTATTTCCATATTAGGTGCTCTTTTTAAAGTTAAGCTAAAGTCTTTTTCACTAGGGAGTGCTTGTGAGATATTGGGGTAGTGTTGTTTATTGATCAGATCTGAATTTTAAATGCGGATGTTGTGATTGTGTTGTAGGACAGGCCGCTGTTCAAACACATCCTTTCCAAGCTGGAGTCCATGTGGAACGACAGTCAGTTACCGGATGAGTGCAACACGTTCCTGCAGAATAAAGCAGAGTGGAGGTACACTAACACACTAATGATTACACACTGCGCACATATCACATATATCATTTACCTGTCTATACACTAGATCCTATTTACCACACACTATAAAAAACACAACCCATTTTGGTTTAAAAACTGCAGTTTAAATGCTATAAAGTTTTGTAGTCAATCATTTTATCCCTTCAAACTCATCGTTGATAACCAAAATGACTCAATCTTTGAAAAAAAAATCTTCATGCCTTAAAATAGTTTGAATGTAACTCTCTTGCCTCATTTAGTATACGCGGTTCTATGAATATGCAAATGAGACCCGCCTCCACTCACTCACTCAGCTCAGAGATCCACTGGTTGACGATCACATGTTGATCTGATTGGACGTCAGAAACACCAGCGATTTCAAACCGTGTTTTTGAGGCTGTCTTTGGTTCACTGCAGTTTTAAGGAGAAAATACTCAGCAATGCTGTCGACTTATGAACTTACACATGGTTTGTCTTAAAGCATATTAAAAACACCACACAGACATGTAAACAACATTGAAAACTTTGAATTTTTAAGTAATCAAAGTGGTGCTTTAAATGTAATATTTTTCTTTATTTTATAAACTACTATGTGTGTCCCTTCACACACATTCCCCCGGTTTCACAGACAAGGGTTAAAGGACGACGCGCCAGGCATTACGTAATCACGTTGGAAAGGTCACGCTGGACGTAGGCGTAAGTACCGCCCCATTGTTTTAAACATCCAGGATACGCAAATGAAAGGACCATTTTAAACAATAAACTGACACAAAGACATAAATATGTCATTCAACATACAATAAAATTGTAACGCTCCACGCTTGTAAACAATGGGGCGGTACTTCCGCCTACGTCCAGCGTGACCTTTCCAGCGTGATTACGTAATGCCTGGCGCGTCGCAGACCAGCACAAGAACAACAATAGTGGTTAAAATGTATATACATTTTTTTTTTTTTTTTTTTTTTAAATGAACGCTCGTTTCGCTAGATATAACACTATTCCTCAGCTAAGATCGTGCAGAGCCGTTTGAAGCACTTCAAAGGACACCAGTAATGTATTTTTTTTCTACGGCATGTTTATAAAAGCTACTTAAATATCCTAATTGAACTAAGGTCTAATCCTGGCCTAATCTAAACCCTGTCTGTGAAACCAGACCATTGTGTCCTGGTGGTCTAGAAAGTCCTGGGTGTTTGATGCTATATTAAGACGATCTGGAACTGGGCCAGGATACAGGGACAGGAGATTCCTGTCCCTCCCTACAGCTAAACAGGGAAACATCGAATGAAGAAAAGAAATGTGACGTGTCAAAAAAGGGAAGTTTTATTTCACATATAATTGTGAAATTCCAGTAGCATTTGTAATAAAAGAGACAGACAGGGAAATCAGTCACACGGGAAGTGTGTTGAAGTTGAGCAAGCAGGGCGTCAGGGGTGGGGCTCGACGGGACGGGCCTCCTGGGAGGTGTTTGAGGACACCCGTTCCAGCTCCTGTCCCTTTATAAACAACTGTTGTCTGAAGAGAATGTGTTGCTCCCTCTGCTGGGTAAATCAGGTGTTACAAATGTACAGTGACTCAGGCTTGACTGTACTTATATACACCATTTGATGATTCTGCACTAATGTTGCCAGCTTAAAAAATGTCTTATGTTTAGTGGCATTTATCCGGTCTAGGGAATAAAGACAACATTCAGCCATTATTCTTACACACGTTTCTTTGCATACTGTGGCCAAACCTGTAAAATCAGTGAAAAACAACAAACGCCACATTTTGTCTTCAAAACATAAATTGTCTATGTAATCCAAAAGTGTGGCTGTGGGTATACAGTTGAAAACTGAAAACAAATATATATATATATATATATATATATATATATATTTTCCATTTATTTTAAATCTTTGGACAAACAAGTGTTTTTTTTAGTCCATTATTTCCACTGTACTCCAAAAGTGTGAATGTGGGTATAGGATTTGTCAGAATTGAAAGCAATACGTAATATTAAAATGTTCAAACACTAATATTTCTGTTAGTGTTAAAATGAATATATTTCGTCTTCTAACAAATATTTTAACAATGTTTTTTCTCTCTCTCTTGTTCTAGCCCCAAAGTCCAGTGAAATTAAAAATTATGTTGTTAAATTGACAATGCAATCCTGTGGGTATAAATTGAAGAAAAAAAAACTAATTTGAAAGCAGTGTGTAATATTTACATTTTCAAAAAATATATTACTTTTTTTAAACTAATATAATTATGTACATCTCCATAAATATTTTTATATTAGTACATCAATGTATGACACATTATGCAGTAAAATATTAATGTATGTAACCTAATCACTTGTTGATGAATATTGCTATGTTTATGAACAGGGATATTATGTTGATGAATATGATGTGTGTGGTGTGAGCAGGTGTGAGATCGAGGCGACTCTGGAACGTCTGAAGCGGTTGGAGAGAGATCTGAGCAGCAAAGAACAAGAGCTGAAAGAAAGAGAGAGACGGTTAAAGATGTGGGAGAGAAAACTCATCGAGCAGTCTAACACACCGGTGAGTGTCTCTCTCTCTCTCTCTCTCTCTCTCTCTCTCTCTCTCTCTCTCTCTCTCTCTCTCTCTCTCTCTCTCTATCTCTCTCTCTTTCTCTCTCTCTCTCTCTCTCTCTCTCTCTCTCTCTCTCTCTCTCTCTCTCTCTCTCGTAAAGCAACTGTTAACTCAAAAACCGTTTCTGTCATCGTTTACTCGCATGTTTTTCCAGGTCGTTTGTTTCTTTAGTAGACCATAAAAAGAAGAATTCACAGTACAGTAGTGGCCAAAAGTGATGTTTAGAGGGGATGTTTGTTATTTATGACCCTACAAATTCGATTAAACCATCAAAATATGAGGAAAATATTTTTAATTTGTTGAAATATTATAAATATAAGGGAATAACAAAACAATGAACTTGGTTAGGGTATCTATGTGACAAAATTATTTGGCAAACTACATCTACATTTATATAGCACATTTAAATGTAGAAGGCTATCCAAAGTGCTGAACAGAGTTAAGGAAAGTCAAATAAAGACAGTAAAACAATACAAAAAAACAGGCAGTAAAACAAAAATAGAGTTAGATTATTATGCTGAGGAGTAGAGATCTAGTTTCCTCATTTATTATAGGCTATTTATCACATAGGCCTGAGGATAAAACCAGAAACTTCTCTCAAAAATGAAAATTCCTAATCCTAGTAAATGTGTTTCTATTTAAACACCATCAAAATGACTTTGTATTGTCTCACAGAAGTGCATTTATTCAGCAACCACAATCTCAAATAGTCGAGAGATCCATGTTTGGATTTATTACAGTTCGTCACTGAGAAGGTTTGATCGCAGATTTAGTCGCATTGAAGGTCAAACTGACTGATTAACACTTTCACTTAAGTAGAATATCTCAAATGGAGATCTCTAAACTGCAGCTTACACATTTGTCTGTGTTTTCAGATCATCCACGCTGTTTTTCGCAGTGTAGAGAGAGCGTGTGCACACGGTTGCCAGATTGCAGTAAAAGTAGAAAGCGTGTTCTTTTAACAGAAAAACACTGGTTGGGGGATTTAATTCTTGAACTCTGGCAACCGTATGCATGAAAGCTCGTAGCGGCTTGATAGAAACAGTCTGCGATGTTTTGTCTCCTCTTTTATTCGACAAAAACAAAGAGTGATCTTGGTCAAGTTATTATTTTTTAACTACATTTTAGTCTTTTTTCGTCAAAGATGTTGCATGTTGATAAAGTCACAGTTATCGTTGGTGTCGTCTCGTCATCGTCTCGTATTAGTCATGGAAAAAAAGGTGACAAGGAGACAAAATCTCGACTCGGACTTGCTTCCTCAAAGACTCGGTCTCGACTCGGACTCGGCATAGGCGGTCTCGTCCCCATCACTACTCTAAACTGCAGCTTACACATTTGTCTGTGTTTTCAGATCATCCACGCTGTTTTTCGCTGTGTAGAGAGAGTGTGTGCACACGGTTGCCAGATTGCAGTAAAAGTAGAAAGCGTGTTCTTTTAACAGAAAAGCACTGATTGGGGGATTTAATTCTTGAACTCTGGCAACCGTACGCATGAAAGCTCGTAGCGGCTCGATAGAAACAATCTGCGATGTTTTGTCTCCTCTTTTATTCGACAAAAGCAAAGAGTGATCTTGGTCAAGTTATTATTTTTAACTACATTTTAGTCTTTTTTCGTCAATGATAAAGTCAAAGTTATCGTTAGTGTCGTCTCGTCATCGTCTCGTCTTAGTCATGGGAAAAAAGGTCGCCAACGAACATTTTTTGTCATAGATTTCATTAATGAAATTAACAGTAGTGTGTCAGAAACGAAACACCCATAACCATATCTGAGTGTCAGCTCTTCCTCAGCACTTGATACACAGTGATACGAACAGTAACGATGGCGTCGGTTTTACCGAATCAAATCCTGCAGAATCGAGTCTCGTTCTTCTGGAAGTTCATCAAAGTGGATTTGCAGCTCTAAACGAATCAAACTCTTCCGGTCTGAAGCTACAGTGTATGAGGGTCTTGTAGACGTTGTTCACAGGCAGCCAATGAAGACCAGAGACTGGCGTTCGGCAAATTAGGTTTCGTCTAAGAAGTGAGACTGGAATCACTGACGACTCGTCTCAGGCAGTTCAGAATCGATTCTCTCTTTGTTAAATCCATTTCTCAAGCACTTTGATCTTTGAAACTTTGCAGAGCTTCTACATTCTCACACAGCCACTGCGTGAAAGCCGAGGTAATATCCGAAAAAAGCATAATAGGGGCACTTTAAACCGTATATGCTGGACACTTGCTCACTGTCTTTCCTTCAATATCCATTCAATTCAATCATATAAAAGAACAGTTTAGTTTATGTAAAGAAGGGCACGGTTTATTTTTGTCTACACAACTCAATCCAGACGTTTCAAGTTTTCTCAGATGAGGAATAGCTTGTGAAGGAAACTGCACACATTTAGTTCCAGTGTGTATGTGCTTCTGAATCTTTTTTCCCCCCATCAGGAACAGTGTTTATTTGCTGGAGAAAATCTCCTGTCTTTGTAAGAAGAGTTTTAAGTGTAATAAGTCGTGTGTCGTGGAGGTTAGAGCAGTCACTTTCTCTGATTCCCTGTAACGGCTGTATTAGGTGAGGCCGCCTGACGCCCACCGGGTCCTTATGGATGTTATTTATGGCAAATGAAGTGGATGTATAGCCACATGCTGAGGAGAGCGAGAGAGAACAGCGTGTCAGCGTGGCGAGGACAGCGCGCACTTACGAACAACTGACATTTCACTGACATTAAGATTGGCCAATTTGAGCAGTGTGAAGACTGTGAGGAACTCGCACACCGTCAAGAAGGAGAGAGAGAGAGAGAGATTGAAAAACATGAGCAAGAAAGAGTATTTCAATATTTCTTCCAGCAGAAATGAAATGCGTTACAGTCGAGGATCTGTTCCTCTGTTCTTCTATTCACACTTTCCTAGGAAACCTGAAAAGCTGTAAAAAAGAAAAGAAAAGAAAAAGAAATGACAGTGCTGTTCACTAGATATACCACTGATATTAATTCAGTTAAAGACTTTTATAGGAGGCTATATTTAAAAAAAACTGTACTTATATATAATATATAATGTAACTGTAATATAATATTAATGAAATTATAGATGTACTTAGAGAATGACGGTGAAGGAAAGCTAAACCAGACTCATCTAAATAATAATTCGTAACGGTTCGTATATTCGTTTATTCGGACTGAATTTGTGCTCGTTTATAAGAAATTTGCTGATTTGAAAAACTATAAATAGCATTATACGTGATTACACCGAACTGTTTCTATTGGTTCTTTTCCAAATGTATTTATAATCAACATTTCAGTCGTCTCGTCCGCCTTTTTTTTTCTTTTTCTTTTTTTCACTGAGCTCGTCGCAGTGCATTCTGGGATTACATTTGTTATATCGACATCACTAATCCAAAGGAAAAATGTTTTTGATATTTGATAAAACATTTGCTTGGGTCATTTGTTTAGGTAAAATTGTAAAAACATCACGAGCATTAGTTTTGATGATTTTAAAAATATTAATATTATTCCCCTCAATCTTTCTTCAAGGTGTCTTTATATTTTATCTTTGATAGTGTGTCTGAGACATTTCTCTTTTAACAATTATGTAAGTGAGACTGTGATATCTCTGTACTGATGTCTAAAAATTGATTTACTAAAAAAAAAACGTTCTGTGACAATGATTAATCTTGCCTGAGATATGTTGCCTGTCAATCAATCTGTCCATCAGATGGAACATGATTAATCTCCCTGAAGGTTGAGGAAAATATGAAAGTTTATGGAATATTTCATTACTTTAGAGGGGAAGATTTGATCTTAACACATAACCTGGAACACAACTTCACATCCTGTTAATAAGCTGCCAATTCAAAAACAAAACTGAGATACAGAATAAAGTTAAAATGTCATAAAAGCATCCAAAAATGAGATGTCAAAAACACCAAGAAACAAACACACACACACAAATAAATGTAGATATTCTAGATATAACATGTCAATTAATTCTATGTAAGAATTTGCCTCATTTTTAAATTATTTCTACACTTGTAAATGAGGGATATCAATGAATGACTCTCTTATTTGCATTAAAAGTGAGCGTCATTGGTCAAACATTGCTCAATGGAGTGAGCGTATTCAGTCGTTCTTGTTGTTAATATCTATACTTCACGTTATAAGAACACTATATATATGTCATTTGATAAGTGAACTTGATGACTGTATGATGACGAGTGCTTGTGTTCTTCTGTCCGTCTCTGACAGCTTCTTCCAAACCTGGCGATCCACTCCTGGACAGAAGAACATGTGGTGGGTGTTTTTTCAATCGAGATGATTTCAGATTTTTGTTCTTTTTTTAACATCTTTTGTCTTTATAGCATTTCTGGATGGAGCAGATCTTTGAAGGTGAGATTCTTCTTCACCTCTGATGTTGATTAACTGTTCATTTAAAGCTTTCTTTTCATCAAAGAAAAACTGAAACCTGTTTTCAACATTGATAATAATCATAAATGTTTCTTGAGCATCGAATCATCACATTAGAAGGATCATGTCAGACTGAAGACTGGAGTAATGATGCTGAAAATTCAGCTTTGATCACAGGAATAATTTTTTTTTTTTTTACAACAACTATTTTAAATTGAAATTATATTTCAGAATATTACTGTTTTAAATAAATGCAGCCTCTCTGAGGATAAGATATTTCTTTAAAAAACATTAAAGGTGCACTATGTAAGAATTTTGCAGTAAAATATGTGTTATATATTTTGTTTAGTTGATTACTTACAATATCCCAAATTTGTAAATCGTGAGAAAATTGCTATTTTAACCGAGGAAACGGGGCGTGGGAGCAGGGGTGAGGAGTCATATCCGCGTTACCCTCGGTTTCCGCTCGTACTGCCATAGTAACCATGGCGACAGACGTGGACAACTGGGTTACGCCTAGCGGTACGCTCACGCTGTTGTTGTTTTGTTCAAACATTTTGGAACATGGCAAGTAAGACAAAAAGAGGACTAAAACGAAGATCAATATCATTTTCGAGATGCCGAGAGCTCCACGTCCGCGACTAACTTCGACTTGACAGAGCTCTTGCATGTACTTTATTAGACAGGTGAGCAAATGTACATAAAACTAATCAATGTTATATACCTCAACATGATGACATGTTAGAATATGATCTGTATGTTATTCTAATGTTGATCTAGCTTAGTCTCATACAGCCAACAAACAACCTAACTAACAACATTCAACACACTCAAATGCCGTTTAGTGTGATAGTGTAACTGTTAGAGCAAGTGAAACAGCGCTGCGTTACCTCAAGTTTAATTCGTCTAATAAACTGACCTGTGTGAGTAGTAATAAAGCACTTGCGGGTAGTTCGGTAGAATTAGTTGTCCTTATTCCTTTATATCCGCGGGACTCGCGTGTGGCACTGGTATCTGTCTCTTATTAGCAATCGCGCCCTGCTTCATACCACAGTCATGTTAAAAACATAAATGTTTTCACTAATTCATAAACATTATTAGATCCATCGGCTTGACGACAAGATCCATAATTCCGCTTAATGCTTTGCGTCATCAACCTACGACTTTGTTATTGTAAGAGGTTAGTGACCCCTAGCGGCGAAAAAAGTTACATATTTTAGCTTTAAACAAATCTAACTGACCCTAAACTTTTGAACGGTAGGTTTAATATCCTTAGATCAGTATAAAAGTATAAAAACAATAGAATTTGATGCAGAGTCCCTGCTATAGAAAGATGACCGTGTGTGTGTGTGTGTGTGTGCTGCAGGTGATGGAGAGCTGCAGCAGTACGCTGAGGTCTTCATGCAGAATCACATCACAGGACAGAGACTCCTGCTGCTGTCTGAGAGTGACATGAGGGATCTGGGTGTGACGTCCAAAGGACACATCATACATCTGAAGGTGCCACGCTACGTCCTCCACGATTACAGCTCATATCTATGTTAGAAATATATATACATTATTTGTCCGTGTCCTAGTTAAAACTGCTTACTTCTCTGGATTTAAACATTCTTAGAAACATTTGGGATAAAGAAAGTTCACAAATCAACCAAATATATAACATTGTTCGAGTGGACACTGGTGAAGAGAACATTACACGACATCAAGCTACGCCTTTGTTTTGAGTAAACGCCCTCTAGTGGCAAAAAATTACATAGTGTGCCTTTAATGTAAAAAGAATTTAATGCGAGTTTGAATATAATTTTTATAAACAGACTGAAAGCAACAACTGATAGGCTAATTCACCTCGGATCTATAATAAATGAAAGGAAAGAACATCTTCAACTCAAAGTGAACAAACAAGTGTATTCCATGATAAATAAAGATTGATTCAGTCACTCAGAATGCATTTTTAATCAGGTTAAAATGGTGTAAGATTTATGAATTTGATTATGTACTTATCCATTTCATTGCGAATGCAGTGCGCTTGCAGAGAGACTCCGCCCACACGCTCTTCTGATTGGCTGGGATCTTTGATTGATTTTGTCGCAGTTTGAACAGATAAATCACATCACGTCTGGTTAGGACTGTTTAAATTTGCTTTTCAAAGCTGCAATTTCTGATTTAACAGATGTAACGAGCAGCATCATGTTTATCATTTATGTTTATTTCCCCTGTTTTGTCTGAATACTGCCATACTCTCCCATACGTAAACGCCATTTCTGAGAAGTCACGTGCCGTAATCTGGCGACTGTCGGCTTTAGTTCCTCGTCTGTCGATGCAGTGTGAATCGGCCTAAAGAAACCGAGCAAGAAATCTCACACAGATTTCAATATGTGAAGATCTCAATATGAAGGCGAATGAACAAAATGAAGACCAGATGATCTGAGCAATGCCACATTCATTCATGTCTCGACAATTGATTTATTTGTCCCTTGGAATTAATTTTATTCCCCCCAATGAATTTTTTTAGAAATATCCGTGACGGCGTTGATGTTTAATTGAAAACTCCATTCTGTCATATTGCTAAGCTTTGAAAGAGCGACCTCTGAGAAATAATTTTTCCTCCTCTGGGAAACGCTGCTAACTGACATCACACGTCTGATCCTGTAAAGCGTTAGTATGTTCGCTCCATAGAGAGCGTGATTTGTTGAATTAATTACTCTAGATGTATATGACATATGCCAGAGCACGAATTATATGTTCATAAGTGATACACAATGGTATTAATTGTTGTTTTGCTGCTGAAAGTCCATTAACAGGTAATAATTATGTAACATTTACACACAGCTGGTCATTGGCTGATTGTCAATGCGCTGCATAACTGCATAAATCCATCTCGTAATGTTTTAAACATTGTGTCAAATCTTTTCTTTTTCAGACCGAAATTGAGAAACTCACCCACGACTACCTGAGTCTGTTCCACTTTCCTCCGTTGATCAAGGCATGTGTTCACTTTCTAGATCATCGTTTACATAGAGCTGACATGTTTTGAGCAATCGCCACACTGTTTTGGCTGAATTCATCCTTATCCACCACACTTTAAAAAGGTTACACTTTCTGTTAGGCTGACGTAGTTACATTGTACTTGCTCAAATAAGTACTGAGTAATATTAATTAAGTACATGTACTTACTATAGAGTTACAATTAGGGTCAGGGTTTAGTTTAGGGTTAGTTACTTGTAATTATGCATAATTTACTGTTATTACTATAACTACGTCACCTTAAAATAAAGTGTTACCAAATCTTTTTTGCTTTTAGTAAACTAAACTTAATTTACTGGGTTTATCCAATTGATTTGACTTGACAAGCTATCTCAGCTTTTGGAAGTAGGTAAAACTCAAAAAAGCCAGTGAAAAAAAAAAAAATATATATATATATATATATATATATATATATACTGTATATATATATTTATATATAATGACTTGAGATTTTTTATACAGTACACAGCTAATGTATTTATATTAGTGCTGTCAAATTGATTAATCATGATTAATCGCATCTAACATAAACGTTTTTGTTTACGTATATGTGTGTGTATATATAATATTATATTTATATATTATATATATTTGTCACTCTGTATGTGTGTGCTCATGCCTGTATATATATACACACACACACACACACAAAGACATATATATATATATATATATATATATATGTAATATATATACACATACACACATATTATGTAAATAAAAACATTTGACAGCACTCATTTAAATGTTCCTTGTGTGCGCTCTTAGGATGGTTTGGCCACTGAAGAAGAAGACGAGGAGTGGAGCAAGACTGTAAATCTGGAGTTAGTGTTTGGATACCACTGGAAAGCAGGCACAGGCAACACGGTAAATCACTCCGCTTCATATCATGTGTAGGAGCCCTCATAGTTATTGATAGGTTTATGATACACAGCTTAGGCCCTGTCCCAAATGTCACACTTCATGTGCACTTACGGTCTTGTGGACTTACTATGGCCACCACATGTGCGTGCCTGTTAACTCCACAAGACCGGAGGGTGTCCCATTTGTCATTTTAGGTTATGTTTACACAGTTTACACATTTAAGCGATTTTAAACCATTCAAGCGCAAGAAGAGGCTAAAGAGAAGTTGATTGAGCGTTGTTTATCTGTGCACACACACCTGAAGCGCACACACACACAGAGGCAGGTTTCAGATAGCGGGCTAACACCGAATTGATTCCTTTTTCGCGTCTCCTTGCGCTTGAACATACACATACACACAAAATTGTGTTAAAATACACCTATCGGCAAGTATAGCCGTCTGTGGTTGCTAGCCCAGTTTTAGATGGTTGCTTGGGTGTGGAGGCTGTTTGGTGAAAATCATATGTGCATATATCTCTGTTTCCATCCACCTATTTTCATGTTTATTTTGGGATATCGCATTTAAAAAAAACTAGATGAACAAAAAAAAGAAGTATTATTTTATTCGATAATAAGACATGCGCATAAACTATGATGAAAACACATTTAAAGAAATAAATCCCTGGATGCGTAACAAAAAGATCCTGTGACTTTGCCTCAACAGTGGATGTGATTAGATAACCAGTGGATCAGTATCATCGCACAGCCTCTCAAATGTTGGCTGGATGATTCTGAAACGCCTGAGCCAAAGTCTGTCATACGAGTGATGTGGTTTAATTCCCAGAAGCGTCTCACACGACTGCGTTCCCAAACACTAGGCAAACAAACGCAAGAGAACCTGACAGCGTTTATTGCGTTAAGTCATTTATGATGGAGGGAAAAAAGCCACAGTGGTTTCCCAGATTGCAGCAACTTCCATTTTTATTATTACAAATTTCCCAGGAAGTGACGATTTTGTTCTCTTGAACACGTGAGATGGAAACGCTGCTTTATTCACAAATGTTTTATGCAATATTTTGCGTTAAATTCGCAACTTTGGCTGGAAACTGATATTGACATGACGCTTAGTTTTTGTCATATCTATGAATTTAATCAAAAATACTTTCAAAAATGCTATTTAATTTCTGTATTAATACGATTTTTTGCGGCATAAACTCAGTCATAATGAAGCAAAAAGTCATAACTTTATAAGTAGTAAAGCATAATGTATAAGAAAAAACAATATAGAAAATAAATAATGTTTTATTTCTTAAATTATTTTAAGAAAACTGCCTCAATATAAAAAAAAAAAAAAAAAAAAACGGCAAATCAAAGTCACGTGGTCCAACCAACAGAGGTATGCAGAAAAAACCTAAAACAGGAAATGATATCATAGAGAGGACCCCGCAGACCCTCATGAACACGCGTCTCAGGGTCAATAAATATAAATAAAATATATAAATAAATATAAATAATTAACGTTTTATCACAATGCATGGTTAGTTCGGGATGTAAAATGTCATTTGGTGAAGCAAAAAAACGTTTTGTTTAATATAATATATATTTAAAAACTTTTTGAAAAATAAAGATTAAAATGCAGACACTCGCATGGATTCTAGACAAATTATGATCACACCACATTTTGAATTGGCTTTTCTTGGAAATGTTACCAAGATGATTTCATTCCTAATAATCTTTTTTAAAAGGGTTTTCCTTGTCATTGCTCACTTAAAAAAGTAATTGCATTCCTCTCATCAACAATCCGCATGATGGTCGAATAAATCGGAGAAACACGAATGCAGCGTTTCCTCACGGTTCTCTTTAATGTATGAAATGCTTGTGATTTGCTGTCATTATTTTCGCATCACCGTCTGTGCATCATTTCCTGTGTTGACAGGGAGCTTTTGTTGCCGATGTGATGTCTTGTCATAACTGAGACTTTTTGTCACACAATTGCGGCGCTCCTTGATTTGAAGTTGTCTTCCTCAAGTAAAAAAATGCCTGTTATCGCCCTCCTCCGAAGACTGACCACTGTCGCGCTAAACGCATTTGCCGTTCCCAAGCCTCTTGTTTTGGTTCCTCTTTTTCGTTCACTTAAAAGAGGCCGCAAGAGATGAATGATTTCTGGTGTAAAGCCAGGCGTAGCATCCATCCACCCCCTCTCGCCGGCGAGCCTTTGTTTGGGCTCCTGACACAGGAGAGCGACTGCGTCTTCACTTTCCGTTTGAATTTAATCAAAAATTTAGCCAGAAGTCATTTTCTTTTTAAAAGGCAAATGTTATTTAATCTTTCAGCTGTTCATTGTCCCATCATAAATAGTCCCCTTTCAACGCGTGCGGCGGGGCTGAAGCGGGGCCGCTAATTGCCTCCTATTTCTCCTGACATGTGGTGGTTTGGTTGGGAGGAAGCTCAGCGGGAAGAAGGAAACAGGAGTCTGAGAAAATGAGAGCTAATTATTTTCCCCTGCCTGGTGTCAGCCTCCGTGTCAGCCTTGTTTTTACAAACTGCAAGGTTTTTTTTTTGCACTAAATAAAACAAACCCGCTTCGCTCGAGTTTTTTTTTTTTTTTCTGCCTTTTTTCACTCGTCTCTCTCTCTCTCTCTCTCTTTCTCTCTCTCTCCCTCTCTCTCTCTTTCTCTCTCGCTCTCTCTCTCTCTCTCTCTCTCTCTCTCTCTCTCTCTCTTTCCTGGCGGTGTCGTGGTACCAGCTGCACTTCTCAAAGCCTAAATGAGACCCTACGATTGTGCTTTGCCCATCTGACAGCACAGAGTGTTTCTGTTAATGAGGATATCAGGGCTTAGTCGCCGGAAAGGTGCTGAATTATGTATGAGGTGTCATTAGACGCTTACCACGCTGGCCGTCATTACCGCGCATTGTTTCTGCTGCTGCTATTAGGCAGGGATAACGTTTGGCAAACGCTTGGTCAGCACTCGGTCGACTTGTTACTGGACGCCTTTAAGACCCGTCCAAAAAAAAAACAAGCTGGCACGCGCTCACGGTTGCCTGTTCCTGCTTGTGTAACAGGGTTATATATAGCATGTGTCTCCACTTGCCAATAATGAAGCGTTGAAATGATCAGACTGAAAGATGATTGGTTAGGATGGAGTTAACGGGGTTTCCTTTTGGCCGGCTGTCTCTCTGTGGAGTCTGTGTTGAAGTGTAGCCTTAATGCAATTCGCCCCTGGCTAAGCCCCGCCCCCCTTAGTTACTGTTGCTACGTCCGACAAACAAACTTCATCTGGGCTCTGGTATAAACATGGCTTATGCTGTGACAGCTCTTCCTGCTGAAATTTTATCAAACTTTTATAAAGCAGCAAATAAAGTGTCCGATAGAAGTAGGCAAAAGCGGCTGCAATATGTGTTCGAAGGCTATATTCACGACATACAGGTGAAACGCAAGGAACAACAAGGCATCCAAATAGAGGCAAAAGCATACTGGTCACAGTCAAAAAATGACCCACCGCATATCCTACTAATGGAGACGGAGGCTGGGATTAACAATATCAAGGACCAACACTGTTCATTAGGGGTGGAACGGTACACAGAAGTCACGGTTCGGTTCATACCTCGGTTCAGACATCACGGTTCAGTACGATTTCGGTACAATGGAGTGAAAAGCAAAGCAAAAATGCAGAAGGCATTTTTATAAATGTCTTAAACCTTGTATTTTTTTAAATAAGTTTTATTAATAAAGGCATAGAACCAGTTTATTTGTAGTGCACTGACAGTAGTTTTATATAATTAGTTTATTAATTAAATTATTAAAAAGACGAAAAGACCTTGAGATATGTTTGGTAATTGTACCTGAATGAATTTAAAATTAATTTGCTATTTCAGATCAAGATATTTGTTTTCCTTCATTTTAATTAACTAACTTTATTCTCATCTGAATTATAAATAATTGATTTCCGTATAAAATAATACTACCATAAAAACTTTTGTTAACAGTTGTAGGTTACAGTTTGACAAGAGTTTAGAGTGTGACAAAAGCACAATGTTGTGTTTTATTGCCAGTGTACACAAATATAAGTAAACAATTTGCAGTTTTAATGATGTCCTGTATGAAAAAAATGACGGAGTATGTTTTTACGTTTCCACTGTTCGATCGCCCGTGCCTCTCTCTCTCACACACACACACACACACACACTGTTCATCGCGCGATTCGCGCCCGCGCCTCTCTCTCTCTCTCGCACGCGCGCGCACACACACACACACACACTGTTCATCGCGCGATTCGCGCCCGCGTCTCTCTCTCTCTCGCGCGCGCACACACACACACACACACACACACACACACACACACACACTGTTCATCGCGCGATTCGCGCCCGCGCCTCTCTCTCTCTCGCACGCGCGCGCACACACACACACACTGTTCGATCGCGCCTCTCTCTCTCTCGCACACACACACACACTGTTCATCGCGCCTCTCTCTCTCTCTCTCTCTCTCTCTCTCGCGCGCACACAGACACACACACTCCTGCATTGCAATCTTGATCGCAGCCTGTTCATTGCTGCGTTAACAGTCACACCAAAAGCGAATAGAGCGAAATTTATTGCTATTTAAGAGGGTTTTTTTTTTATTTGTACCGTGTATTCTGCGTGCAAATTCGTGCACCGAACCGTGACGCCCGTACCGTTTCGGTTCAATACGAATACATGTACCGTTCCACCCCTACTGTTCATGCAAAGCTGGGTAGGTCTCTATTCACTTCTATAATCGTTATTACAAAGCAAATGGACTACGCGAGTATAACGTTGTATTTATTAGCAGCGTGTGCTAGACGACACTTGTCAGGATTTGACTTCGGTTTGGGAAGGGAAAAAAACGCACACCCCCCTCCAACCTCTCTGGGAAACGCGTATCTGTGTTACAAATTCCCCCAGGCACAACGTTTAACCATATTTTTGATAAAGCTACGACGGTAATAGCCTGCCGAGACCAAAAATATGAGACCCCTGTGTTAAAGTCAATGGAGCGCTG